AGCGGCCATAGTGTCATGCAGAGGGTGTCTGGAGTTACCCAGGATGCCCTGCAGTAGAGCCCTCATCCTTCTCTCCAGCACAGAGACCACAGAGTCCACACTTCTCCCCTTCACAGAGACACATTACCTGATCAGCCTGTCGAGCTGTTACTGTCTCTGAGGTCAGACTGCCCCCAACACACGCCCCCAAAGAACACAGCAGTAGCTACAACAGACTGGTAAAATATGTACAACATTTGACTGCTCACATCAAAGGACCTCAGTCTTCTCAAGAAGAAAACTCTGCTCTGACCTTTCTTATAGAAGGCATTGGCTTAATGTACTCTACTGAATATAAAAACACTTGATTTAAGCATTTATCACCTCATATTTCATCACTTTTTGCAGCGTATGTGAGCGGATGATGAAGTGATGGCTCATGACCACGCCGAGATAATACATGCTTAAATCAAGTGGTTTTTATTTTAATTAGAGGACACTGTAACTCTCTGAAAACAAGATTTAGCCATTTAGTCTCATTCCAAAGGAGACATTTCTTGCATCTATTTAAAGCAGGATCATTTTCCTCATCCCTTTGACAAATCTTGTTTACAGCATTTAAAAAATGCTCAAATTAAGAAACATTTTTGCCAAATTTGAGCTATTTTGGACTTATTTTTGTCACTTGTTGCAGTGCAAATAAAAGACTGTTCTCTCGTATTTGGATCGACTCCGGTGAACGGCCTCTCGAGCGACAGACAGATATTTGTCCCAGTGCGGTGTTCATTTCACAGCCGGCAGAATTGGTTGGCAGCGTTTAAGGGCACATTACGGAGATCCAAAGTCACAGAGAACACAGATTATTGCTTTTCTGTACTTTTTGGAGTTGCAGGAAAAACCAGGCCTGAGATAAACGGCGTCGCAGACAGAGAGAATGTCCTTTGTCAGTCACAGAGCCGTGATTACAGTTTACACCCAGACTGAAGAATGTGCTATTGTTCCTAACACCAGGACTCCCAGGATTCTGAAACACAGAGAACTCCCAGAGCATTGTGACGGCTCCAATGCAAATAACAAGATTCTGAACCAAAACCCTAATCTCTAAACCCTGACCCAAAAAAGAATTTTAGTTTTTCACTGCTTTTAAATTAAGCTATTTATACGTTTAAAAAAAATCATATCGATGAAATACAGCCAAACGTAAGTCTAACTGATGTGTGTAATGTGTGTTGCTATGGTAACAGCTGAGATTGCTCTGCTCAGGCTCAAGATGATTTCATAAACATAATTACATAGATAAAAACTACATATAGATTTCCATCAATCTATCCACCCATTTTCTTCCGCTTTATCCGTTGCCGGGTCGCGGGGGCAGCAGTCTAAGCAGAGACGCCCAGACTTCCCTATCCACACACACCTCCTCCAGCTCGTCCGGGGGGACCCCAAGGCGTTCCCAGGCCAGCTGAGAGACATAGTCCCTCCAGCGTGTCCTGGGTCTTCCGCGGGGCCTCCTCCCGGTGGGACGTGCCCGGAACACCTCCCCAGGGAGGCGTCCAGGAGGCATCCGGAACAGATGCCCGAGCCACCTCAACTGGTTCCTCTCGACGTGGAGAAGCAGCGGCTCTACTCCCAGCTCCTCCCGTGTGACTGAGCTCCTCACCCTATCTCTAAGGGAGCGCCCAGCCACTCTGCGGAGGAAGCTCATTTCGACCGCTTGTATCCGCAATCTCGTTCTTTCGGTCATTACCCAAAGCTCATGACCATAGGTGAGGGAGGGAACGAAGATTGACCGGTAAATCGAGAGCTTTGCCTTTCGGCTCAGCTCCCTCTTTACCACAACGGTCCGATACAGAGACCGCATCACTGCGCATGCTGCACCAATCCGCCTGTCAATCTCACGCTCCATTCTTCCCTCACTCGTGAACAAGACCCCGAGATACTTGAACTCCTCCACTTGAGGAAGGACCTCTCCACCCACCTGCAGAGGGCAAGGCACCTTTTTCCGGTCGAGCACCATGGCCTCAGATTTGGAGGTGCTGATTCTCATCCCAGCCGCTTCACACTCGGCTGCAAACCGCCCCAGTGCATGCTGCAGGTCCTGGTTCGTTGGAGCCAACAGGACAACATCGTCTGCAAACAGCAGAGATGAAATCCTGTGGTCTCCGAACCGGACCCCCTCCGACCCCTGACTGCGCCTAGAAATTCTGTCCATAAACACAGTGAACAGAACCGGTGACAAAGGGCAGCCCTGTCGGAGGCCAACATTAACCGGGAACAGGTCTGACTTACTGCCGGCAATGCGAACACAGCTCTGGCTCCGGTCATACAGGGATCGGATGGCCCTCAGCAGAGGACCTCCGACCCCATACTCCCGGAGAACCCCCCAAAGGACACCCCGGGGAACACAGTCGAACGCCTTCTCCAAATCCACAAAGCACATGTGGACAGGTTGGGCGAACTCCCATGAACCCTCGAGTATCCGATGGAGAGTATAGAGCTGGTCCAGTGTTCCACGGCCGGGACGAAAACTACACTGCTCCTCCTGAATCCGAGATTCGACCATCGGCCGTAGCCTCCTCTCCAGTACCTTGGAGTAGACCTTACCGGGGAGGCTGAGGAGTGTGATCCCACGATAATTGGAACACACCCTCCGGTCCCCCTTCTTATAGAGAGGGACCACCACCCCGGTCTGCCACTCCATTGGCACCGCCCCCGATCGCCACGCGATGTTGCAGAGACGTGTCAGCCAAGACAGGCCCACAACATCCAGAGACTTTAGATAATCAGGACGGATCTCATCCACACCCGGAGCCTTGCCACCATGGAGGCTGCCAACCACCTTGGTGACCTCAGCCAGGGAGATGGATGTATCCGCCCCAACATCCTCAGCCTCTGCCTCTGTAACAGAGGACGTGACGGGTGGATTGAGGAGAACCTCAAAGTATTCCTTCCACCGCCCGACAATATCCCCAGTCGAGGTCAGCAGCTCTCCACCCGCACCGTACATGGTGTTGGATAAAGAACTGCTTCCCCCTCCTGAGGCGCCAGAATCTCTTCGAGGCCGACCGATAGTCATGCTCCATAGACTCTCCGAACTCCTCCCAGTCCCGGGTTTTTGCCTCTGCAACAGCCCGGGCCGCGGCACGCTTGGCCTGCCGGTACTGGACAGCTGCCTCAGGAGTCCCCCGAACCATCATGGCTCGATAGGACTCCTTCTTCAGCCTGACGGCATCCCTTACTGCCGGTGTCCACCACCGGGTTCGGGGGTTGCCGCCGGGACCAGCACCGGAGACCTTGCGACCACAGCTACGAGCCGCCGCATCGGCGATTGAGGCAGAGAACATGGTCCACTCGGACTCCATGTCCCCCTCCTCCGCCGGGACCTGGGAGAAGCTCTCCCGGAGGTGCGAGTTGAAAGTCCGTCTGACAGGGGGCTCACCCTTGTGTCCACCAGAAAAAGTGTTGACGATCAAAGCGGAGCAATTTCACCTCCAAAATGAAAAGCCGTCAAATTGACTGCTCAAAAAAGATAACACAACTTTACTGATCTCACAATGGAGAGATTTACCTTAAGAAGTATTTCATCTCTGTACAGCATGTAACTACTTCATAACTATCAAAACGGTTTGTTCCATCACTGGTTTTCTCATGCAAGTACTGTATAGACTCAATCTGTTAATAATAATGTCATGGTGTGGGTTTTATTTCTGTATTTTAATTTTATTTTGACATTGTTTTCTGTGGTTTGGTTTTAGTTGTACTTCCTGTCCTGTTTGCCCCTGTCTCTATTGTCTGCCCCGCCCTGATGTGTGTCACCTGTGTCTGGGTCCATATGTACCTGTGTCTGTGTCCATATGTACCTGTGTCCATATGTACCTGTGTTAGGGATGTACCTGTGTCTGTGTCCATATGTACCTGTGTCTGTGTCTATATGTACCTGTGTCTGTGTCTATATGTACCTGTGTCTGTGTCTATATGTACCTGTGTCTGTGTCCATATGTACCTGTGTCTGTGTCTAAATGTACCTGTGTCTGTGTCCATATGTACCTGTGTCTGTGTCCATATGTACCTGTGTCTGTGTCTATATGTACCTGTGTCTGTGTCTATATGTACCTGTGTTTCTGTGTCTATATGTACCTGTGTCTGTGTCCATATGTACCTGTGTCTGTGTCCATATGTACCTGTGTCCATATGTACCTGTGCTTCCCTCCTCCTGTTGCTGGTCCATTGTCTTGTCTTTGTTCTTGCCTTTTGGTCTTGTTTTTGGATTTTTGGATGTTTTGTTTCCTTGGACTTTTGTTTTTTCATTATTCAATCATTTATATATTTTTAATTCCTGCATTTTGAGTCCTCCATCATCTCACCACAAATAAATGTTTTCTGCTGCGCAGGAGGAAGGCCCCAATACATCTGTACATTATCTCACTCTTTCTGATGTTTTCACAATGTCTGATAATACACAACATTACAACACAATAATCCCTGCATAATCCCAGCTCCTGTGTTTACTCTGGGAACTTTCACATTTCAGCATCCAGCAAACTTTGCCAGTGCACTTCAGACAGAGAAACGGATCGAGAAAGCTTTCATCAGTGTAAGTGCAACATTCATGCTGTTTAAAATGAGCTAATGTTGCTATAAAATGTGGCGAGCACGTACTGTCCAGCGGTGACGAGTGCGGAGCTGGGAACAGTCTGCAACTTACTAAATGTCCTTTTCCATATAAAGTAGGGCGATGCATTTGCTTTTAGCGTATCTGTACAAAAAGCTCAAAACTAAGTAAGTCTGTGTTCGCCGAGGGAACAATCTGGTGACACGGTTAAAAACTACAAAAAGACAGGTTTTCTTTCACTTGAAGGCAACACTGACTCTTAACCATTGAAAAGCAGTGTGCTCCTCTGAGTGACTGACAATCTCGCTCCCTTTGTCTAACCCTGCACAAGCCTGCGGTCAGTGCCATGGCTCTGGACGGACCGGGGTGACTGAAATGGAGGTCAGAGCTCGCGTTTAGGGGTCGCGCCTCAAATGAAGCGTGGAGAAGAGCTGTCGGACAGAGCGGACAGCTGCAGCCGAGGCACTGATTTACTCCAGAGAGAGGAGACGGGAGACAGAGCAGCCGCCACAGCCGCCACAGCCGCCACAGCCACCACAGCCGCCACAGCCGCTTCAGCCACCACAGCCGCCACAGCCACTACAGCCACCACAGCCGCCACAGCCGCCACAGCCGCCACAACCGCCACAGCCGCCACAGCCGCCACAGCCACCACAGCCACCACAGCCGCCACAGCCGCCACAGCCGCCACAGCCGCCACAGCCGCCACAGCCACCACAGCCACCACAGCCGCCACAGCCGCCACAGCCGCCACAGCCGCCACAGCCACCACAGCCGCCACAGCCACCACAGCCGCCACAGCCGCCACAGCCACCACAGCCGCCACAGCCGCCACAGCCGCCACAGCCACCACAGCCGCCACAGCCACCACAGCCGCCACAGAGCACGGCTGCAGAGCAACTGGGCTCAGGGAGAAAGGGCAAAGGACCCGGCGGCACGGTGGCTGAGTGGATAGCACTCTCGCCTCTCAGCAAGAAGGTCCTGGGTTCGAATCCCGGTCAGACCAGGGCCTTTCTGAGTGGAGTTTGCATGTTCTCCCCGTGTCTGCGTAGGTTTCCTCCGGGTACTCCGGTTTCTCCTACCACTAAAAATATGTCCAATAGGCATTTCTGGCATGCGCCTCCTGTACTGGCCCCGCTCCCATCTCTGTGTGGAGTGAGAGACAAATGCCCATAATTAACAATTGTAAACCGCTTTGAGACTCAGATCTGCAGTGAAAAGGCGGTATATAAATAAAGATTACTTACTACTACTACTACTACTACCAAAGTGGGAGAAAAGAAGAGACGAGGAGATGACACAGCTGTGGACTGGACTCCTGCTGGTCCCTGTGCAAACTCACATATTGTATCTTTAAGACAAGTGTGGAGTGTAATTTTTAGGTTTTTAGTAGACGTGGAGTTATATTATATAATAGGCCCCAGTCAGGATCGTTAAAATACTAGGTTTTATATACATTTATAGTTTATGGGTATGTTTTTGCTTCTTTCCCACTCCATTTTGAGGTGAGAAATTGCAAATACATATTGGATTTGTAAATATACACATGGTGAAACTAAGGCAAATATTGTTGCTTGATTGTATATTTATGTTTAAATATTTGCACGTGTGTGTATGTACTGAAAGCACAGTAGACAACAGAACAATGTACAAAAGTATTTTCATAAACTAAGGGAAAGTAAATATTGTAAACACTTTTGCTCAAATTAATAAATACAATCAATCAACCAATTAAGTCAAATATATAAGTTCCAGTGACCCCAATCTTTAAACATGGGGTAAAAACAATATTGTTTTCCCCAATTGTAAAAGTAAAAGGTTCAGACCACATCGAGCTGTCTTCAAAATATTGTTAGAAAACAATACCGCAGGGCCTTTATCCCCACCGCTGTCAGACTGTACAACAAGTCACTTCAAGTCACTTGCACTAGGATTAAAATATATCCTGCATTTAACATGTTGCACATTTCTTTCTTTTGCACAGTCTTGAGTATTTCTATCCGTGCCAGATGTGACATGTACATTTCTCCAGTGTGAGATCAATAAAGTCTATCTTATCTTATTACACACTTGTCAGAAAGAACCCTGTGAGTCACTGTTTGACTCTTAGGGCTGAGAGCTGATTGGCTGAGTGAGGGTGGTTCTCTATTTTTCACTTTTCTGTCTAAGAAAGTTGATCTAATGGTGACTGTCGATAGAACAGAACTGTTTTGAGAGTGAGAACCTACAGTTAGATGGATATTGTTACAGTAACATTTGTTGTTGTTTGAAACTGATGTACAGCAGCGTCAATCCAGAAAAAAACAAAAGTGTGATCATTGACTGTCGCAGGTAACGTCCTGACACCGGTCTCAATAAATGTGGTTCTCTTTCCCCTTTCCAAATATTTCCATTTACACAAAATCACCTTTGCATTTTGCTGAAACTACGACACATGCATGACCAGACCAAAACTAAAACTAAGTCCATAGTTTAAGACAAATGGAGTTCATGTTATGGTTTAAAATATCTTTTCAAAACGGTTTCACAAAATCAGCCAAAAACAAATACCCATCATAACATTCGGATTCAGGCCAAAAAGTCAGGCTATTGTCCCACACACAAGCTGAGGGGGATCCACACACGCGTACACACACACACACACACACACAAAGGCACACACACAGGCACACACACACACACGGAATAAAATAAAAATAAGAGGAATAACGGCAGGACGTACAGGAGAGGCAGCAGCCCGGGTTTAGTTGGATGGGGAAGCAGCCCAAAATGAGGTCTTTCCCCCAGCGGGACACAGGTGCACCGAGACCACAAGGACCACAGGGACTACAGAGATCACAGGGACCACAGAGACCACAGGGACCACAGGGACCACTCTGATCCAACGTTTTTCAACATCGCAATTTACTACTTTGGCATTTTAAATAAGACATACTGTGCATTATCCTTGACAATCAAAACTTTGTCAATCTATGTTTTAAGAAAGGTGATAATTCTGTATTTTAAGGTTAAATATTCAAGATTTTTTGGCCATTTGCAGTAAAACCACAATGGAAAAACTGTGCAAGACAGCTCCAGTGTGCACCAGACAGAGCAGATAAACCCCAGAGCTCTTGTTACCCCTTGTCTTAAGGTGCATGATGTAACTTTTTGGTTTGCGTACCCAGTGTGCAGCATGGTGCCTTAACTTTCGATCACGGTTGTGTCTACAGTGATCCAGAATCAATTGTTTTGTAGATGAAAGGGTCTGTCAGCAGAGGAAACCTCATAAAACAACTGATCCAACAGCATACTAGAGTCCACTGTAATGGGAAGTACCAGAAATTATAACCATAAATCTCAAGGGTGAAAAAATTCCAAAGCATGTTCCTGAGGTCATACATTTAACTTGTCTTTCAAAAGAATAAACCCCAGTAAATTGAAAGATAATTGACTTTTGGGTGAGCAAAATGAGGCCATTGCTGGTCCCTGTACGCAGTCCCTGTGGTCCGGTGCCTGTGCTTCCCCGCTGAGAGAATCCGTTTTCCACTGGTGTGTAATAGTCACTGTGTTTACATGGGAAGAGCGTGTGGACCAAGCCACGTAACTGGTCTCAGCTCTGCACCTTCCACAAACCAGTCTGAGCGCAGAGACCTTTGACCCAAGCACTTTGTGAGACTTTCAGAGGCCTCTTGTAACTTTACCGTCGCGCTCTAACTTTGGAGCTTTAATTCTTTCAATGGTGTCTGTCTTGTCTCTCTGGTCTCTCTCTCTGGTCTCTCTCTCTGGTCTCTCTCTCTGGTCTCTCTCTCTGGTCTCTCTCTGGTCTCTCTCTGGTCTCTCTCTGGTCTCTCTCTCTGGTCTCTCTCTCTGGTCTCTCTCTCTGGTCTCTTTCTGGTCTCTCTCTCTCTGGTCTCTCTCTCAGGTCTCTCTATCAGGTCTCTCTCTCTCTGGTCTCTCTCTGGTCTCTCTCTGGTCTCTCTCTCTCTGGTCTCTCTCTCAGGTCTCTCTCTCAGGTCTCTCTCTCAGGTCTCTCTCTCTCTGGTCTCTCTCTTGTCTCGCTCTCTCTCTGGTCTCTCTCTTCTAAGTAAGTAATCTTTATTTATATATTGTCTCTCTCTATGCTCTCTCTCTGGTCTCTCTCTATGCTCTCTCTCTGGTCTCTCTCTTGTCTCTCTCTCTGGTCTCTCTCTTGTCTCTCTCTCTGGTCTCTCTATTGTATCTCTTGCTCTGGTCTCTTGCTGGTCTCTTTCTTGTCTCTCTGGTCTCTCTCTCTGGACCTGGTCTCACCTGGTTTCCTCATAAACAGGTGACACTGGGATAATGAGACTATTGTTCATTTATTTCTGTAATAAAAACTAAAATGTGAACCCTGTATCTGACACAGACTCATTTGTGTGTGTTCTCATGTTTCTCCATCGTCACCAGTAGGTGGCAGCACTGGCATCAGACTTTGTTCCTGTCTTTCACTCATCCTGTGACATGTGACATTGACACTTTAAAAGCTCTTTATAAGCTTGTGTTTCACGGCTGGTTTAAATTATCATTCTCATTAAAATGTAAAGTTATTCTTGGACATAATCTTCACACCTACTCTTTCCCGCCGAAGACTACAGGTGTAAATTGAGTGGTCTTGGTTTTTACGGTTAAGCTTTGGCTTCTGCTTCAACTAAAAAAGAGGAAGTATACGACCTAAAACTAGGAATGGAGATCTTTCTGAGCACGATAAGAATGATTAGAATCTAGATACTGATGACTTCCAAGGAGATACAAATTGAAACTTCAAATTGATAGGATTTGATACTTCATGTAGACAGACATGTTTGATATTTGATAATTCAATTTGGTAAAGTTAAAAAATAAAGGCTAATCTGAGAAAAAATCTAAGAAAATCAAAAAAATCTGTAGATCTAATTTGAAAATATCTTGCAGTCTGACCTTATACACTTCTGGTTTTCACTATAAATGCATCTGCTTGTCTTTCCTCAGTTAGGGTTAGGGTTCTTATCTCTTTATGAGGCTATATGAGGTTCGAAACGGTCCTGACCATGTAGAATATTTGGGAATCTGGACATCTCCAATCGACGCACAGTAAAGGGCATTTTGTTTAATCGATGTGAATTAGACAAATTTTCCGATTCTCTCTCCTCCCATGTAAACACAGTGAGTGGTAGCATGGTTGGTTGGTTGGTTAGCGGCGACAGCGGTTTACCTGGCACTGTGGTGGGCTCGTTGGCTGTTCTGAAGGACACGGCCCCCGGTTGGGACTTGCCCTGCTGGTTCTCGGCCACTACCAGGACGTCGTACTCTGTGTTCCAGTCCAGGCCGCTCAAAACCACGTACTCGCTGCCGTTGGGAAGGCGGATCTCGGGCTTCCAGTCAGATGTGTGCCTCTGAACCGGGTGGAAGAGAGAATGGTTAGAACAACAAGACTTGAGTTGAGAGGCTGTGTTACGATTGGCCAGTGGTACCCAACCATTTTCTCCCAGATCTACAAAGTTTGGATAGAGAGTTGAAGTGAAGAGGTGTCCTAAACCACAGTGGCTGTTTCAATCTCCTTTCTAAACTCTCACCCAAAGCACCAAAGATCTAGTTTCCCACACCATCTCAATCAGATTTGGGAATGACATACATCCCGTGAATCTGTTTGTCCTTTTTGACCAATGACTTTGAAGACTTTTCTCATTTGCTCTTGGTAAATGACTAATTCTGTGAGTTTCTTTGCGATGACTCTTGAACATCTGATTTGACAGAAGTTAATTTGATGAGAGAATTTCAATATACCATACTTTGACAACAAATTTGGATTAATCAAGACATCAACAAATGAATTGCCTAAATAACACAGAAGACTTTCAGCCCTTGATGTATTCAGAAAAAGTACCAAACAAATGTGAAAACAATCTCTAGTATGTGAGAGAAGGTACTCGAGAAGCTCTAGAGAACGTCTTTTCAACATAATTTTTCCAAGGGACATAATCTAAAGAAACTTGAGCAACAAAGGTCAGATCATTAACTTTTAACACAATCTAAAATTAAACGTTTTACTTTGTCTCACTCCCTTTATAAGCTGTTATTTGCAATATGTATCAGTACAGTATGTATTCACACTGATTCTTGATTGGAATGATTTGCTAAAAATACATAACAAAACAACATAGATTCAACGTGCACTGTACATGTATCATCTCGCAAACTAAACTAAGGGTTATAAAAACTGTAGAAGTTTGGAACCATCGGAAATAATGTGGAGATGAGCCGTGGCCAAGTTCGTTCCAAGTTCGGCTCCTGGAACACCTACTCTAAACGTATAGAAAGGTGGTGTTCGTGTGACATCACAACGTTCCAAAGAGTTTAAAATCTACGGTAACTGTCACAACTTTTCATATTAGCTTAATTTTATCTAATTCCAGGGCCACATGAAACAACAACTGTCTCAAAACGGTGTCTAGAAGTGGTGACAATATTCAAAAACACATGTACGATGTTGGCCAGTAGGAAGGACTTTCAGACGTAAGAATCACAGGGAAAGTTTGTGATCTGAGCAAATATGATCTGGAAAAACATTTGGACACTTTCTTCCCGTAGAATTGTTTTTGCACTTTTCCTGAATTGGAAATCTACGGCATGAAAGCAAACAAAAAAAAAACCTAAAAATCGTACATTATCGGGCTTCCTCCTGTTTTATTTACCAAGAGTCACAACATCATCTCTCTGACCGACTATTACTCCGACACAACGTCTTAACAGCCTTGACCGTAGAAGATCTCCAAACGGTTGACGTCGGAGCTCCGGCTTGTACTCACAGCCTTGTAGCGGACCAGGTAGTGCATGATGGGAGATCCGCCATCGTCCTGCTTCACCCAGTTCACCCTCAGAGCGTTGCCCTTGTTGTGGACCTTGACCTCCAGTTTGGGTGCGGTGGGTTCCCCTGTACACATCACCAACACATGAATTATACACACAGAAAGAAAGAGTAGGTCCAGATTCTGTGCCAAAGAAAATGGAAAGTCCCGAAGTCTGATTTTTTTTGATAATCGGATTAGAGAGTCATCACCCTGCGTGGATTCTGCAATTTTCTGAAATATGAAATTGAATTGAACTTCTTCCCCTGGTGGTAGCATAGGGTCCTACAGGTTCAAAGCGGTTTTCTTTTTACCCATTGATACTTGTTTTACCATATATTGTCAAGTAAATAGTCTCCATCCATCCATCATTTTCTTCCCCTTAATCCATTTCTTGGTCGGGGGGTGGCAGTGAGAGATTTCTTCTTTAAGTTTTAATCTTTGATACCTTCTCAAACACAATTTTTAGCCTCCAAAAGAATTCTATTGGTGCCGTAGCTTTGATCATCAGACTGTTAATTTTTTCATAACACACATTTTCTACACCCATGGCTTTGTACAAGATCAAAGTCAGTGTTGAAGATGATGTTTAAAGGTATATAGGAGGATTTTCCCAAATTTTAGGAAAGAACCCTCTCCACTTTCTGATCAAAACTCTTTGGTCTTATTTGACGAGCACGTATCACCAGAATGATTGACAGTTAGGACCAATAGTCTTGATGATCCACCCGAAAGTAGAAAATCCTTCTATGTACCTTTAAGGGTCTAAATTAATGCAGTGTCGGCATTTGTTCTGCCATTGTGTTTTTGGGCAAGACATCTCAACTCAGCCTTAACAAAATGTCCTGATTGATAGAAGGAAATAAGGTTAAACTTAAATGCATAAAACATATACGCAATCAAATAAAAGTCTTGTGAAAAAGAACCCGGCAAGCTTTCACGGAGTTATTTCTGGTGATAACAGCTCTGTTCCCGATGTTGGGCGTGTCCCTGTTTCAGTTTGACAGCTGTGTTGCGAGAGCCACAGCCGAGTGATAAAACAGATGCATTGGTCTCACACCGCCGACTCTTATGCTGGATCAATTTCTGCATCTTTTCTTTATCATGATTAACAATTCTGTGCTTGGCTGCAAATGTAACCAGTGACACAAACACAGAACTATTATGTTATTATAGTGCGCATGTGAGAGTTCCTTCAGGTCCAGTCAAAGGCACCAGAGCATTCTTTTCCACAGTCTCCGACCATTAAAGTCTGACCTCTGTGAAAGCTTGTGAAGAAAAGATTCACCCGCAAACATTATTAGCGTGACATATTTGAAACCATGTAATACTTTCTTTAGAAAAGCAATTTTATACTCTTTTGACGTCTACATTACGACAGGGTAATAATATGGAAATAAGGTGGACATGATTTGAAATTTAATGAAAATAATATTGTAAAACATCTTCATAGAAATAACAGTGGAGCCATAAACAAATTGAGGGAAAGAGCATTTGTTTGAGTTGGTAATGTGTAGTATATAGTTGTTATGATAATAAATATAAGCTATAATTATAAATTGAGTTCTTTAATTAATGTACAAATAATCTAAGAAGAAAACCATTGAACCCACACCAAACTGGAAATGACCTGTTCATTCATTACAAATTAATTATTTATTTATTTGTTTCAATTGTGGACAAAAACAATACTACACATATTACAATTACATTTCAAATAATTGTCGTCTTGTCGCACAAATGAAAAGGAGCAGAAAGAAGAAAAAAAATTGTATGTTGCCTGCCCCTTTTTTCATACATGTACAAATTTCACATTTATTTCACATTTATTTCACATTTATTACCATATAATTTCCTCCACATTTCTTGTTGCTTTTCAGAAAATGACATAATTATTTATATCAAATTTCAAATAATGTTCATGTTATTTTCAAAGGGGTTGGGCAAAGTTTATATTGTTTTTTGTGCCCACGTTTGACAAATGTACTCAATATTCTTTACATTGTTACTCTTTCAATCAGTCAAAATGTTCATAGTTTAATTCTTTTATTTTGTTTTATATTATTTGAGTGAAACGAAGTCCCTTGAAGTGACTTTAATTTTTAAATTGCAATGATCAGATGCAACAACAAATATTAGTGGATGGAGCCAAATGTTTGAATACTTGAGTTCTGTTTTTTATCTTGAAAGCACACTAAACAAAACACAAATAATGATTGATTTAATAAAAAGCTGGTGTACTTTAGCCCCTAATCTGCATTCAACTGAACTTTCATCAAATGCAAACAATAATAACATAATTCTGTCGACGCCTTTGCAATGTTCTTACTTCTACATAATCCCATCACGTCACATGACTGTGTGCAGCTGTAGCCAAGGGACTTTTTATAATCCAGATTAAAACAGGCTGACATATTACATGCATCCATATTTATGAGCGCTGAATTAATTGGTGCTGTTATTGCGTTCTATTATTATTGGATCGAGTTGTGGGCGAGACGAGCTCTGAATAAAACAGTTTTCCTTTTTGAACGCTGAGGTGCCAAAGTCTTAGAGAGCAAACAGGTTAAAGATGGTGCAATGTCTTTTCTTCATAAATAATTGATGTTGTAAAAGTAAAACATTGTGAACCAATCAGACCACCACAGGCTGTCTTCATCTTATTAGAAAACCTCTTTTGCTCTTTAAGAAAGTGAGTCAATAGGAGCCACTATTTCTTAATAGGCTTTTCTCATTACACTAAAATTAGAAATACATCCTAAATTATGAGCAGCCTCGCGTCATATGTCCGTCATACCTTCGTCATATGTCCGTCATACGTCCGTCATATGTCCGTCACACGTCCGTCATACGCCAGTCATACGTCCGTCATATGTCCGTCACACGTCCGTCATACGCCAGTCATGCGTCCGTCATATGTCCGTCATACGTCCGTCATATGTCCGTCATACGTCCGTCATATGTTTGTCATACGTCCGTCATATGTCCGTCATACGTCCGTCATATGTTTGTCATAAGTTCGTCATAAGTCTGTCACACGTCTGTCATACGTTCGTCATAAGTTCGTCACACGTCAGTCATATGTCCGTCATACGTCCGTCATACGCCAGTCATACGTCCGTCATGTTTGTCATAAGTTCGTCATACGTCTGTCACACGTCTGTCATACGTTTGTCATAAGTTCGTCACACGTCAGTCATATGCCCGTCATACGTCCGTCATATGTCCGTCATACGTCCGTCATACGTCCGTCATATGTTTGTCATAAGTTCGTCATACGTCTGTCACACGTCTGTCATACGTTCGTCATAAGTTCGTCACACGTCAGTCATATGTCCGTCATACGTCCGTCATACGCCAGTCATACGTCCGTCATATGTTTGTCATAAGTTCGGCATACGTCTGTCACACGTCTGTCATACGTTCGTCATAAGTTCGTCTCACGTCAGTCATATGTCCGTCATACGTCCGTCATACGCCAGTCATACGTCCGTCATATGTTTGTCATAAGTTCGTCATACGTCTGTCACACGTCTGTCATATGCCCGTCATACGTTAGTTATACGTTCGTCATACGTCCGTCATACGTCCGTCATACGTCCGTCATATGCCCGTCATATGCCCATCATACGTTCGTCATACGTCCGTCATACGTCCGTCATACGTCCGTCATACGTCCGTCATACGTCCGTCATATACCCGTCATATGTCCGTCCTATGCCCGTCATACGTCCGTCATACGTCCGTCATACGTCCGTCATACGCGCTTATAACACTAGTAATGTAAATGTCACATTGGTTAAAATGTACGCGTGTCTGCTGCGTGTACAACGTGTACGAGCTGTAACGCCTCCTGTGTAAATGAGCAGTTATTCAGAGATTTTATTCTTAGATCTTGCTTCTTAATGACGCTAAAGTTGGTGATTTTAGATTTGCTTCCTCGTTATGCTAAAGCTCGAGATTTAATTATTTTGTTCTTATTATGCTAAAGTTTATATTTTATTTTATTTTAGTATAGATATTGCTCATTTATCTTGTGTGGTCTGCTCCTCGTTCCTACTGTTCTGTAACCGGCTATGCAACACTGAAATTTCCCCACCGAGGGAAAAATAAAGCATCTCTTGAATACAATTTATTGAATTAACAAAGTGAAAAGGGGTGAGATTTAATGAGCTTTGGCTTCTTCCTACTCCTTTTGTTAAGTCTTGTTTTTTGTTTTTGTTGTTGTCTTGTATTTATTGTTGTCTGTTTTTTGTTTTTACTTTGTTGTTTTTATTCTATGAACATTCATTCTTTGGGCTGAGAGCTGATTGGCTGATTGAGGGTGGTCCTCCACTTATCTGAAAAAGCTGAAACTTACATGCATGTGGAAACTCGTGATAGAACTGAACTGTTTGGAGAGCAAAGAACTAGTTACATGGACTTTATTCTATATTAAATTGTACATATCCTCCAGAGTTAACAATAGATACAATTCAAGCATTTATCAAGTAGCCTTACTAGTATTTTCACTGAAGGATTTGATTTACAGAAAATATTAGGCATTTTTTTAGCCTTGAATGTCAATGTTACTTGTAAAAGCGGCATGTCCATCTCTGCTGCTTCCTGATTGGTCAAAATGTATTAAAATCCTAAAGAGCCCTCGTCATTGGTCCAACTATTCTCCTCCAGCAAGACTTACATGTCGTTGTTATGCCAAGGGGAGGGCGGCTGCTTCAAATATGATACTGTTGAAAAATCCATTCCGTACATACATAGTACACTGCCCCATGGCCAGAAATGTACTTTATTTAGAAAAAGATAAATAACATTGAAGTTGCTGACATCCCTTTTAAAGATTACATTATGTTCTATGGCTTTTCATGTCTTAGATTTTCCCAGTTTCCTCAATAGAAAATATATGGGTAAAACAAGTATAGAAAGAAAAAAAACTGAATCAGCATGCAATTCCCCATTTTTGCCACCAGATGGACCTACTGATTTCTTTTTTGGCTTGCAAACTCAGCCACACGGTTCTGAAGAATTTAATTCAACCATAAAAATGAGCAATACTTTTGTTTTAAAAGGAAGATCATAATGTAGAGTAAAATTCCATCATAGCGTAGCAAGTTCAAGGGGGGCAGCATTTAGACAAAAAGGGGCGGAGTTACGTGTTTGTGCGAGAAGGTCGTGATAATAACATGAATGGAGCTATAAACACCTCCAGGGCGAAGACGAACAATGTTAAAAGCTTCAATCTAAAAGACGATTTTGCATAATATGTCTATTCTAAAATATAAGTTGGTAACATGTTGCATAAATACTGTATCTACGAGGGTTTCTGGACCAAAAAAAGTCACCAGTTGTTAATCCGTCTCTACTGTTTTGGTGTGACAGTGTTACAGAGTATATTGTCTGCTTCAATTGTTGCCAACATATGTTTCAATGCACATTTATGACATTCTATCACATTTATTTTCAAACAATACATTTAAGAAGACATGACCAGAACAGAAACACGTGCAAAACAGGACTGAACTCAAAGTGCATAGACATAAACGGGGACGAGGGGGCTCACAGGCTGCTGCGCTCCTCTTGGCTGAGTAAGTATTAAACACAGAGAATGATCTGGGATAGTGAGTAGATCCAAAATGACCAGAATATGGAACGTGTGCTGCTTGGATGTTTTTAGGAATCATGTTTCAACTGTGCATGACCAAAGTTGGTTGGAACGTACAGTTTAAAGGGTCGAACTTCTCTGATGGTGTCTTGTTGCCATGGTTACGTGATTTCTTAGCTTGGTATGTAACTTGGTATGATGTTTTCAAATAAAAAAAAAAAAAAATCTTTTCATGACAGACTGTAAAATGTACTGCATATAGAGTTCAAACCAGAAGTTTTAACCACTTTAATCACTTCAGAACTTCTCATCTTAACATGTCTCAAAACCCATCTGATCCTATTATAACGCTATCTGAATCAATACCAAAAGTTCTTTGGAACTCTGGCCCATTCCTCCTGACAGAACTAGTGCAACCAAGCCAGTTTTGTATGTCAGACTTATCCTCTAAGTAGCTAAATCAATGTCAAATCAGGCAACATTTGAGTTTCAGGTTTTTACTAAATTTGTAAAGTTTTTATGACATGTATCTGCCCAGTGCCACGAGGACATTTTGTATACCGGTAAATGAAAACCATTTTGGGAATCTTTCCAAGATCTCCTCACAATAGTTGGGTGAAGTTTTGGCCCATTCCACTTGACAGCTAGCCTGACTTCATCATCCTCATGATTTCGGTCAAAAAAATTGTGAAGGCGGGGCTAAAGTTTGCCTGTTCTCAGGTTTTTACATCGCCTTGTTAGATACACCCTTCTCAAAGGACTTTTCCTCAGGGCAACAATGGTTTATGCTCGAGGGGGTGTGATTGAAATGACCATAATTTGAACTTTGGTTTAAATCAATAGAAACCTCAATGTTGATGATATGATAATGATAAAATGTGTAAATGAAGATATGTTTTAAATGAATGCGCCTTTGGAAAGTGAACACAAACGTTTACCTTCAGCTGCATAGCGGAGACGACATCATCAGCACCATGCAAGAGCCACATGATGCACATGATGGGTGGGGGTGAAGGGAGAGGCGGGGGGCGGGCACATGGAAAACACAGAACAGCTTTAAAATAATGGGAACAGAAATGTCAACAACAAAAAAACGCACACACATTAGAAAATCATAAAAACAGACAAAAAATGTTAAAAGATTAAAAACGTCAAAATGCAACAAAAAACCACAACACACAAAAGTTTCATTTGGTTGAAACTTTTGATAGAATTATTTGAAATACATTTTTTTGGGAAACATATAGCTTTGACAAGGTGCAGCATATTTTAGTGTAGTCTATAATTAGTCACTAAATTAGTCTATAATTTAGTGTAGTCAATTATTAGCATTAAAACAGACAGACTTTAGTGATTAGATAGAGCCAAAATGTGCATAGAGCATAAAATACATCACAAAAGTAAAATTTGGTTCGAAGTCAAATGGTTGGTGATTGTTCAAACAGTCACAGGGAATTTCAAGATACAGTAAGTGGCTATTTCAAGTCTACACAATTCAGAAATCTCACAATACCACACAATTCTCAGGTCAGTCGTAAAGCTGGGGTACCTAACTTTCAAACAACCCACAATGGGGCAATGGGATGACATTTAAATCCATCTGACAAGTGCCCGGTTCTAAAACAATTTGGCTGTATTGCTAGTTTTCAGGCGCATTTCTTCGTCACATCTGTTGAAATCTTTCAGACAGAAAAGTGCAAAACAGGGACTCGGCCAATCAGCTCTCAGCCCAAAATGTCAAATAGTGACTCACAGGGCTCTAAGTATGCAAAAGATGCTAAAATAAATGCGGTTTCTTTCAAATAGTGCACAACATTTTACTTTTACAAGACTTTCTGGTGGTGAAAAGGTGAGATGCCCCAGCTTTAAGGCGTTCTGAAAGCTTTAATCACAAACGCTTCAGTTGGAGTGACCACCAATCCTCTTTCTGACGGGAAAGAAGAACTTACCACTTCATGAGGAAAAACCAAAGTCACTCCACAGCTTACAGTACACTCCCACCGCTGTCTCTTTGGGCTTTTAGAATCGACACCATGTTTTTGATCACTTTTACTGCTCATTCAGATTTTGTACCAAGATACATTCCCGAGATTTTCTGAACCCTTTGAATTCTCGCAATTTTCGATCCAGAGGCCGGTCCCTGTTCGCTGTCCTGAAGTCGAGGATCCAGACGAAAGGCGATTACGACTTTTTAGCGTCATATTGTAATTTTCTTTATACACTTTTTATGCAAACCTGACTTTACCCTAACCATATTACTATCTTTACCCTATAAGCGCCAGAGGTTTTTCGCTAAAACGCTCAATATGTTTCAAAAGGCTATAACTTAAAAGTGATAAGAGATAGAGGCTTTCTGTAAATTAGAGAAATATTAAAGATGGCCCACATTTTACGTAGGCATTCAATTTATCCAGTTCTGATGTCATATGCTGGTGGAATTTGTGGATTTTAGAATTTTCCTGAAATGTTTTTATTTTTTGGCGCCTATTGAGGGTTAACCAAGTGGGAATTAGGAGAAAGGAGAATTACCCTAAATTTTTCTTACATATTTTTCTTTTATTTATTTCTATTATTATTATTACAATTATTATTATATTCTATTATTTTATTAGTCCTCTAGCTCTCATATAGTTTCAGGGTTCCACCTTTTCATCAAATTTCAGATTTTTTTGTGTGCTGAAATGTACTATACATGGGGGCGACAGTAGGTAGAGCAGTGGCCTTTGAGCCTGGAGGTCGTGAGTTCGATTCCCACCATGGGACCTACTCCAACTGCTCCCACTGATGTATACTGTCGTTGTGTCCTTGGGCAAGACACTTAACCCCACTTTGCCTGAAGTCCCAGATCCCACCTGCAGAGGATCAGCGAGGGACTGGTGCTATGAGCATTGGGTGGCAGCTCTCATTGCCCCCCCCGACCCAGAAATGTAAGTAAGTAAGTAAGTAAGTTTTTATTTATATACCGCCTTTTCACTGCAGATCTGAGTCTCAAAGCGGTTTACAATTGTTAATTTTGGGCATTTGTCTCTCACTCCACACAGAGATGGGAGGGGCCAATGGTCTCTGGACCATTGGCCCCTTAAATGGACAATAAAGGGCTTGAAAATGAATGAATGTACTATACATACAGTATAAACTTGCCCTGCCTTGGTCCACGCTATTAGCAGTTCTCAGCATAACCCTTATAAAATCTCAGACTGGCTGATTTTTACAACTCTGTATCGTCTCCAAATGAGTTCTGAGAATATCTTCTGTCCAATTTCTTCCACATTTTTTGTGTTCTTGATACAGGTAAGTGCAACAACACATCAACGGCACCCACAAAATTCCAATTTGCATGCTAATGTCATTTTCTTTCACCGCAAATACAAAGTCATCCTCTACTTTCCCCGCACAAAAGCACCCCCTGACTTCTCCAACACATTTTATTACAACCCAAACCTCCTGCACCCTTTTCCTTGATTGCAACAACGTACGGCGCGCCCTCAGACTCGCATCTATCAGACCCGCCGCCTGATGACAAGATTACTGCTGCGCCCATTACGCGCACGGGACTCGAGTGTTAAGCTAACGCATCGGGGGCGCCTTCTGGGAACGCTGGGAACGAGGCGGGCCAAGAGAGAAGCTGATTGCGGGGAGACATGCCAGCAAACTCCCCCTGCAGGTGGTAAAAAGTAGATATAGATAAGGTAAACACAAGGCGGCCGGAAGGGGACTATTATCGACAGCACTCAAATTGAGCGTCGGTGAACACAGAGGCTTTCAGCTTGTTAGGGCTGAGAGGAGCGGCCGTGATGAATCTCATTGCCGTCTCCGGTTTTATTGCTCGGTCTTATTCATTGTAATTTATTCCCGTCTTGGAAGGCATACGCTGTCCTTTGATGAACTCTGCGAAGTTTCACACCGCCGTATAAGGCGGTTCATTACGGGCAGTTGGAGTGAGGCTTGTCTCCTGTGGAAATGCTTTGTCAGTAAAATGCGTAGCAAATTTGACCATAATATTACGATTTTAAATGTACTCATTGTAAAACGCGCAAGAATCGATCGACGTTAAACTTTGGAAGAGACCATGTTGTGGGAAGAAGGTGATAAAAAGCTACTTTAAGTTAAATGTCCATAATATTTTAATGAGCATTGGATTTAGTTACGGATTTTACCCAAACAAGGTTCCAGTAACTTTAGGACTTTGCGTAAAAGGTTAGTATTCTGAGGTTAGTATTCAGTCTGGAATCAACAGAAAACAATCTGCAGTCACTGAACACTTTGTTGCAATCACAAACCACACAGAAACAGCCACACACAGAAAACTATCAAGTAGAAACCCAACGTTTGCTGATTAAATTGTCTGATTTTTGCCTGAAAATAGAAAACAAATCCTGTCCATTCCATTCAGTGACCAACTCATTTTGACAAACTTTAACTCTGCCAATATAGACATGTTATACTTCATTTAAATCAGTTCTGAATCTGCAAAATTAACTTCTGAAAATATATTATTGATGAGTATAAAGTCAGCAAAAGATGATGTAACAGCAGCCCAAAGCTTAACTAAACTTCAGCTTTGCTTATGCACATGATCGTTTTAAGGCTTAGAACCTCTAGAATTCAGTAAGAAAGCAATCATCATTCAGGTTACTACAGCTCCACTAAATGTATATTAATGTTCATGTCATACCTCATTTTAAATTGGTTTATGACAATCCACAAATAATAGTTTTCTTCATAACATTTCCAAATTGGTCTGGCCCTACTGGTTAGTTTTAGATGTTAGCTTTACGTTAACATATTTACGTTTTAATAGTGCGTTAGCGACGTTAGCCAAAAAACAATCAGGGCCACAATATAGACTTTCTACTGGCGCACACACACACACACATACGCACACACACACACACACATGCGCACACACACGCTCGCTGGTCCATGTCAGACAGGGATACTCACGGGAGGATGAGGGGGTCGTGGATGGAGCTGGAAATGGTCACAGTGGTGTCAAATGGAATCTAGATATTGTACCAATATTCTGTTCTGACTCGAGAGATTCCAGAAGAGATTATTATTTTTTTTCCCCCATTTTCTGTAGTTTTGCCCCCTTATTACAAATAAGTTGTTGGAAAAGCACTTCATAAATACAGACAATATTCTAGTTTGGATTTTCTGAGATGACATAAAACCCCAGACTCCCAGCTCTGAGCTCTGTGTCCCCTGTCCCATGATACTTATGGAAATTTAATGCCAGACCTATTGCGGTAGGGCAAACCAGAGCACCCGGAGGAAACCTACGCAGACACAGGCAGAACATACAAACTCCACTCAGAAAGGCCCTGTTCCGACCGGGATTCCGAACCCAGGACCTTCTTTCCGAGAAGCGAGAGTGCTATATCCACTCAGTCACTGTGTCGAGCTTAGTCTACAAATATGACTTTTATTATTTACCATAGCTACCTAGAAAGATTTAGAACTTTATAGGCGATAGTAATATAGTTATGTCATACAAAGGTAAAACCCATTACACTAATTTGATTACATGATTCTTTGTTCGGTGACTGATCCGAGACGGTTTCTTTTCAGGATGCACATGATATAATTGCAGGCTATGAAAGATGTCTCGCCGTCTGCCTTGAAAGCGATAAGCACCAAATCAGATCAAGTGCTTCAAGGCCGTCTCGCTCGCGGTCGCATCTCAAGAGCGTCACTCCCAGACTCAAAAAACAGCAGATATATATTTTTTTTCTGAACACAAAGTTTGCTGACTGGTGCCAAAACATGAAAACAAAGAAGCAAGGATATATACACTGCACTTTTCACAATTCGACAAAGATGTATTGTGTGCTGTTTGTTCCCATGGGAGCGGTGGTGTCAGCTCTCTTTGTGCTGAGACGCTCAAATCCACACACGCCGCGGAGGATATGGGTGTATGCTTAAGGTCTTTAGGGTTCAGCGTATACACAAATATGTATGTATTTGAAGATTGCTGTGTTTCTGTTTGTTAAATGGGAATACCAAACTTAAAAACGACATCATATACGGACATTGGTCATCTGCCCCTTAGATAGATAGATAGATAGATAAGATAAATATTTCTTTCCTCCAGTTGATTTACACTTGATCTGCTTGTTTTGGTCCGTGCATTCTCTTTGCTCTGGATCAGTGTAGAACCATAAACACTGTACTGGAGTAAGATATATCTACGGCTAGAAAAAGCAAGAAAAATAACAATTGTAGAGTACAATATCTTCAGAGCTGCTAGGACGTGCTGCCGTTTCTGTGTTTGAACGATTTGGTTCTCTGATCTGTGTTGGCGAATTCAACGGTTTGGTGAAGTCCTCTGAGAAAATTACTGTTGTGATTTATAGATGCAGTCAGTCATTTCTTTAAAATATTGTGGGAAAACGTCCCTAAACCATAGTATCAAGTTATCATGTGTTTCCAAATAGTAATGGAATTGACCTGATGTCTATAGTCTCCAAAAATGTTTAAAAAAAATATTTTGGAGCAGGCCGATAAAAATAAACCAATGGGATTCGTTCATCCCCAACGAACCAATGGGATGTGTTTACCCCCTTCACCCTCTTCCTGTTTCTCGTGAGTGCACCTGAATTTTGAGTCGGATTTTCTAAAACCTTAAATGCCAATTTCACGTTTGCTTCACTCTCCCTGTGACAAAGAAAATAAAATGCTGAATGTTTGGTTTGGTGGAGAGGGAGGGGAGGGGGAGTGGTTTAGAGTTGGTGCTACGGCTAAGCTAACAACATCGCTAAGTGCACCTTTAAGGCTGTGCAAGAATTAACAGAATTGAATTGAACTCTGTAATAAAATCCATCGCACAAGTTCCTGGCTCTAAAACCGTTTGGTTCTATCACTATTTTCAACAAGAATGTATTTTTAGCCTCTGCCACATCTTTTGATCAGGTTTTTCAGACAGAAAAGTGAAAAAGAGAGAACCAAAGCATCAAAGAGAATATAAGAAGCAAGCATACATCGAGAGTTGAAAAGAAATTCTATCAGATACAAAAGGAAAATATATATGGACTTTGTCAAAAATCGTCAGAAAATACCTCTCAGTCGTGTGGTACTGAGCAGGTGGAAATATTATGGGTAAAAGTAACTGACATAGGGAGATCTTTTGTCTAATTAAATTCAGACGTATATAAAAAACAATATAACATTTATCACCTTGAGCCAAACCGATTAAAAGATTATTTGAATAAAGAGTTAGTAAGTTATCAACTAATTCCCAATACAACTATTTGGTGTAAATTCAGGTTTCTTTACAAACAGATTTCTATAACACCTTTTTTTAAGACTCTTGACTAGACCTTGTACTATTTTCTGGAATGGACCGGAGCAGCACAGGAAGAGGTTTGAGTACGGAAAATCAATCATTTAAACTTATGATTAACCAGAACTGTAAAGACACCCAGTTATGTAAGCATACAGTCAAATTATGATTCAGTCCTCAGAACATTTAACTAAACACATCTCCAAACCTTAGTAGCACAGTTAGAACAAATACACAATCAAATACAAAAACATTTCAGAAAGTAGAATACAAGTTTAAATCAAATCGGTTAAAAGGGTGGCTCATCTATGGGAGAGAGTGACTTTAGTGATCAGGCCAAAGCTACTGACACACTACCACTGTTTCGATCAGTTGTGACTATCATACTGTATCGGACAAAACACTACCGTGGTTCTACAGGGACAAAAAGGGGACAGGGCTAATAGCTGTAAACGGGAGTGGTCTAACTACCTAATCTACTGCACCAACCTGCAATCTTTTTTTTCACATAACGGACCCGAGTAACTTTCTCTGAAAAAGCAAAAAACGCAGTCATCATGTACAGTTAATTGTTTTGAAGTGCGTCGCTACGGCAAAATCTGCATAATGAAACTTGTGACTAAAACGTGACTAAACATGTTTGATAAGCTCACATAGAAAAGTGTTTTACATACGATACAGACCATTTACTGCAGAAAGGAGAGGACAGAGCCGCTGGTCGAAGTCAGAGGTAATAATATGAACTGACTGCTATGTAATGCAGTGAGAAAGCCTTATCCTGACAGACTTCAGAAGCTAAGCAGAGCAGTGCCTGGTTTGGTCCTGTGATGGGAGACCTCTGGGATCAGCAGGTGCCACAGTGAAGCGGCCCGCCTATAAAGTCTGGCACAGGCACGTACCCTTGCTAGAGTGAATGCATCATGCCATATAAAGCGTATTTGAGCATCCAGAAAAGTTAAAAACAAAATATATTATAAGTATTATTGTTCATTATTATGAGACACAGTCAGAATTCCAAATATGGAGTCTGATTGCAAAAGTTGTGCAGAAGCTGAAAGCCATCCTGAGCTACATATTATTGATACAAATGTTAAGTCTTGATCACCGGTCTCCAGCCTATAGCTAGGGAGCTACCAGTAACTCTCCACCCCCTCCAAGTCTAATAAATAATGACTGTGGATACATCATATAAAGAAATTGCATTAAATTGACTATTTTGGACGCTACAAGATAGCTCTCTGCCAGTTGTGTCTCAAAAAAGTAGCTCTCTGTCTAAAAGACCCGCGGTGTTCTTTGGTAATGGATTATTTTTAATGTATATTTTATACTTGTACAGCTATAATATCAGCCACATTGTGTGACTGTTTTTGTTAGGCCAAAACAGGAATAAACCTTTTGGCCTTCACAATGTAGAAAGACATACAACATAATAAATGAACTAGCCATCTGGAGCTTCATCTGTGAGTATTTTCTTTAGTACGTAAGTTAGAGATTTTATTTGACTTGATTTTATTTATTGTTCGTGTTGTGTGCTCCTCATTCCTGGACTGTGACTGGTGATGCAACACTGACATTTCCCCGCTGTGGGATGAATAAAATCTCTCTTAAAAATGTATTTGAGGATTTTCTACTTCCGGGTGGATCTTCAAGACTATTGTTCCTCCTGTCACACTGATGCTCAACAAACAAGACCAGAGAGATCTTTCAAAAAACGGGTAGGGCAGTAGCTAACAGTGGCTCAGTTGGTAGAGCATTGGTCTGTGGACCTAATGGTCGCGGGTTCGATCCCACCACGACCCATGTCATCTGCTCCCTCTGCTGTCGTTGTGTCCCTGGGCAAGACACTTAACCCCACTTTGCCTGAAGTCCCCACTAAAAGAATCTATCTATGTTGAAGAAGCAGCATTCTTCCTGGGAACCCACCACCTGCAGGAGGATCAGCAAGGGACTGGTGCTTTGTGAACCCGACCCAGAAATGGATAATAAAGGGATGAAAATGAATGAAAGAGAGGGTGGTTCTAACATTTGAGAAAATCCTCCTATAAACCTTTAAGTAAACTTTATTTATACAGCAACAGAGCAAGTTGACACAAACTCACTAAGTCCAGTCCTTTCCACAGTCTATGGTCTGTACATACATCTAAATCTAAAAGAGCTACACGTTTCTGCCGGTGCACATTCCTCCGTGACCGTAGTGCTGCGTGAGCGTGACCCTTGCACTCTGACATGTGGACGTGTGGCAGCGAGAGGGACTTACTTGTGTGCACAAAGTCTGAGCAGTCCAGCGGAACACAAACAGATGGAGACGGGAGCAGAGCGATGGGAAAAGAAAAGACACGGTGAAATGAAAAACATGAGACAGGAGAGTCCAACCACATCGTTCACCCTCCAGCGCCCCCACCTCAGCCTCCAGCGCCCTCACCTCAGCCTCCAGCGCCCCCACCTCAGCCTCCAGCGCCCTCACCTCAGCCTCCAGCGCCCCCACCTCAGCCTCCAGCGCCCTCACCTCAGCCTCCAGCGCCCCCACCTCAGCCTCCAGCGCCCTCACCTCAGCCTCCAGCGCCCCCACCTCAGCCTCCAGCGCCCTCACCTCAGCCTCCAGCGCCCCCACCTCAGCCTCCAGCGCCCTCACCTCAGCCTCCAGCGCCCTCACCTCAGCCTCCAGCGCCCCCACCTCAGCCTCCAGCGCCCTCACCTCAGCCTCCAGCGCCCGCACCTCAGCCTCCAGCGCCCCCACCTCAGCCTCCAGCGCCCTCACCTCAGCCTCCAGCGCCCCCACCTCAGCCTCCAGCGCCCTCACCTCAGCCTCCAGCGCCCCCACCTCAGCCTCCAGCGCCCTCACCTCAGCCTCCAGCGCCCTCACCTCAGCCTCCAGCGCCCGCACCTCAGCCTCCAGCGCCCCCACCTCAGCCTCCAGCGCCCTCACCTCAGCCTCCAGCACCCCCACCTCAGCCTCCAGCGCCCCCACCTCAGCCTCCAGCGCCCCCACCTCAGCCTCCAGCGCCCCCACCTCAGTCTCCAGCGCCCTCACCTCAGCCTCCAGCACCCTCACCTCAGCCTCCAGCGCCCCCACCTCAGTCTCCAGCGCCCCCACCTCAGCCTCCAGCGCCCCCACCTCAGTCTCCAGCGCCCTCACCTCAGCCTCCAGCGCCCTCACCTCAGCCTCCAGCGCCCGCACCTCAGCCTCCAGCGCCCGCACCTCAGCCTCCAGCGCCCCCACCTCAGCCTCCAGCGCCCGCACCTCAGCCTCCAGCGCCCTCACCTCAGCCTCCAGCGCCCGCACCTCAGCCTCCAGCGCCCCCACCTCAGCCTCCAGCGCCCCCACCTCAGTCTCCAGCGCCCCCACCTCAGCCTCCAGCGCCCGCACCTCAGCCTCCAGCGCCCTCACCTCAGCCTCCAGCGCCCCCACCTCAGCCTCCAGCGCCCCCACCTCAGCCTCCAGCGCCCTCACCTCAGCCTCCAGCGCCCCCACCTCAGCCTCCAGCGCCCTCACCTCAGCCTCCAGCGCCCCCACCTCAGCCTCCAGCGTCCTCACCTCAGCCTCCAGCGCCCCCACCTCAGCCTCCAGCGCCCGCACCTCAGCCTCCAGCGCCCCCACCTCAGCCTCCAGCGCCCTCACCTCAGCCTCCAGCGCCCCCACCTCAGCCTCCAGCGCCCCCACCTCAGCCTCCAGCGCCCCCACCTCAGTCTCCAGCGCCCCCACCTCAGCCTCCAGCGCCCCCACCTCAGCCTCCAGCGCCCCAACCTCAGCCTCCAGCGCCCGCACCTCAGCCTCCAGCGCCCCCACCTCAGCCTCCAGCGCCCCCACCTCAGCCTCCAGCGCCCCAACCTCAGCCTCCAGCGCCCTCACCTCAGCCTCCAGCGCCCCCACCTCAGCCTCCAGCGCCCCCACCTCAGCCTCCAGCGCCCCAACCTCAGCCTCCAGCGCCCGCACCTCAGCCTCCAGCGCCCCCACCTCAGCCTCCAGCGCCCCCACCTCAGCCTCCAGCGCCCCCACCTCAGCCTCCAGCGCCCCCACCTCAGCCTCCAGCGCCCCCACCTCACCCTCCAGCGCCCTCACCTCAGCCTCCAGCCCCCCACCTCAGCCTCCAGCGCCCCAACCTCAGCCTCCAGCGCCCCCACCTCAGCCTCCAGCGCCCCCACCTCAGCCTCCAGCGCCCTCACCTCAGCCTCCAGCGCCCCCACCTCAGCCTCCAGCGCCCCCACCTCAGTCTCCAGCGCCCCCACCTCAGCCTCCAGCGCCCGCACCTCAGCCTCCAGCGCCCCCACCTCAGCCTCCAGCGCCCCCACCTCAGCCTCCAGCGCCCCCACCTCAGCCTCCAGCGCCCCCACCTCACCCTCCAGCGCCCTCACCTCAGCCTCCAGCACCCCCACCTCAGCCTCCAGCGCCCCAACCTCAGCCTCCAGCGCCCCCACCTCAGCCTCCAGCGCCCTCACCTCAGCCTCCAGCGCCCCCACCTCAGCCTCCAGCGCCCCCACCTCAGTCTCCAGCGCCCCCACCTCAGCCTCCAGCGCCCGCACCTCAGCCTCCAGCGCCCTCACCTCAGCCTCCAGCGCCCCCACCTCAGCCTCCAGCACTCCCACCTTAGCCTCCAGCGCCCCCACCTCAGCCTCCAGCGCCCTCACCTCAGCCTCCAGCGCCCTCACCTCAGCCTCCAGCGCCCGCACCTCAGCCTCCAGCGCCCCCACCTCAGCCTCCAGCGCCCTCACCTCAGCCTCCAGCGCCCTCACCTCAGCCTCCAGCGCCCTCACCTCAGCCTCCAGCGCCCTCACCTCAGCCTCCAGCGCCCCCACCTCAGCCTCCAGCGCCCTCACCTCAGCCTCCAGCGCCCCCACCTCAGCCTCCAGCGCCCGCACCTCAGCCTCCAGCGCCCTCACCTCAGCCTCCAGCGCCCCCACCTCAGCCTCCAGCGCCCCCACCTCAGCCTCCAGCACCCCCACCTCAGCCTCCAGCGCCCCCACCTCAGCCTCCAGCGCCCCCACCTCAGCCTCCAGCGCCCTCACCTCAGCCTCCAGCGCCCCCACCTCAGCCTCCAGCGCCCTCACCTCAGCCTCCAGCGCCCTCACCTCAGCCTCCAGCGCCCGCACCTCAGCCTCCAGCGCCCGCACCTCAGCCTCCAGCGCCCCCACCTCAGCCTCCAGCGCCCGCACCTCAGCCTCCAGCGCCCCCACCTCAGTCTCCAGCGCCCCCACCTCAGCCTCCAGCGCCCCCACCTCAGCCTCCAGCGCCCTCACCTCAGCCTCCAGCGCCCCCACCTCAGCCTCCAGCGCCCCCACCTCAGCCTCCAGCGCCCTCACCTCAGCCTCCAGCGCCCCCACCTCAGCCTCCAGCGCCCTCACCTCAGCCTCCAGCGCCCCCACCTCAGCCTCCAGCGCCCTCACCTCAGCCTCCAGCGCCCCCACCTCAGCCTCCAGCGCCCTCACCTCAGCCTTCAGCGCCCCCACCTCAGCCTCCAGCGCCCCAACCTCAGCCTCCAGCGCCCCCACCTCAGCCTCCAGCGCCCCCACCTCAGCCTCCAGCGCCCTCACCTCAGCCTCCAGCGCCCCCACCTCAGCCTCCAGCGCCCCCACCTCAGCCTCCAGCGCCCCAACCTCAGCCTTCAGCATCCCCACCTCAGCCTCCAGCACCCCCACCTCAGCCTCCAGCGCCCCAACCTCAGCCTCCAGCGCCCCCACCTCAGCCTCCAGCGCCCCAACCTCAGCCTTCAGCATCCCCACCTCAGCCTCCAGCGCCCTCACCTCAGCCTCCAGCGCCCCCACCTCAGCCTCCAGCGCCCCCACCTCAGCCTCCAGCACCCCCACCTCAGCCTCCAGCGCCCTCACCTCAGCCTCCAGCGCCCCCACCTCAGCCTCCAGCGCCCCCACCTCAGCCTCCAGCACCCCCATCTCAGTCTCCAGCGCCCCCACCTCAGCCTCCAGCGCCCCCACCTCAGCCTCCAGCGCCCTCACCTCAGCCTCCAGCGCCCTCACCTCAGCCTCCAGCGCCCTCACCTCAGCCTCCAGCGCCCCCACCTCAGCCTCCAGCACCCCCACCTCAGCCTCCAGCGCCCCCACCTCAGCCTCCAGCGCCCCCACCTCAGCCTCCAGCGCCCCCACCTCAGCCTCCAGCGCCCCCACCTCAGCCTCCAGCGCCCCCACCTCAGCCTCCAGCGCCCCCACCTCAGCCTCCAGCACCCCCATCTCAGTCTCCAGCGCCCCCACCTCAGCCTCCAGCGCCCTCACCTCAGCCTCCAGCGCCCCCACCTCAGCCTCCAGCGCCCCCACCTCAGTAGGGGCGCTCTTTACATTTTAACATGTGGCCTAATAAACTATGTGTCTATGAGGCGCACGGTCTGCAACGTTTTTCCCTGAATTATTTCCCCAATCGTGTTTCCAGACCCCACTTTGGGAAGCGCCGCTGTACACATAACATTTCCCAACACACCATTCTCAAAACATTGTCCAAAACACACATTGCGGGTCTGGATCTCAGCATTGGACGACTGCAGTAGGCTCTGGGTGAAGGATGTGGTGAGCTCTGCACTTTGTCGTTTGAAATTCAAAAAAACCAAAAGGATTTCAGGCAAATGCAGAGAAAGAAACACAATCATGACAACATAAATGCATGCGATTGAACAGTCACTGGAGATGGAGCAGAGAGTCCCACGCTCAGGGTGCAGTGGCAGCGTAGCACCAGAGGAGGCAGCAGAGCATGGAACAACACAAGCGCATGTCAAATGGGATGAGTGAAAACACAACGGAGTGGGAACAGGGCGGGTCTTCAGCCCGAGTAATACGGAATAGTGTGATGAGATTAGCACACGGCAACCACAACACACATTCACACACATCACAACACACATTCACACACATCACAACACACATTCACACACATCACAACACACATTCACACACATCACAACACACATTCACACACATCACAACACACATTCACACACATCACAACACACATTCACACACATTCACACACATCACAACACACATTCACACACATCACAACACACATTCACACACATTCACACACATCACAACACACATTCACACACATCACAACACACATTCACACACATCACAACACACATTCACACACATCACATCACAACACACATTCACAACAACACACATTCACACACATACACAGACATTCACAGCACACATTCACACACATCACAACACACATTCACACACATCACAACACACATACACACACATCACAACACACATACACACACATCACAACACACATACACACACATCACAACACACATTCACACACATCACAACACACATTCACACACATCACAACACACATTCACACACATCTCAACACACATTCACACACATCACAACACACATTCACACACATCACAACACACATTCACACACATCACAACACACATTCACACACATCACAACACACATTCACACACACATCACAACACACATTCACACACATCTCAACACACATTCACACACATCACAACACACATCATAACACACATTCACACACATCACAACACACATTCACACACATCACAACACACATTCACAACACACACACACACATCACAACACAACACACATCACAACACACACACATCACAACACACATTCACACACATCATAACACACACACACATCACAACACACATACACACACATCACAACACACATTCACACACATCACAACACACATTCACACACATCACAACACACATTCACACACATCACAACACACACACACATCACAACACACATTCACACACACATCACAACAGACATTCACACACATCACAACACACACACACATCACAACACAACACACATTCACACACATCACACACATTCACACACTTCTGACTAAACCACACAACTGAACATACTACTTTCAGGAGATTCAAGAGAAGAAGAGAACAGAGGAAACACTTAGGTCAGTGGTTCTCAACCAGTGGGTCGCGGGATCATTCTGCTGCTTTGTCAGTGAGGATGAGAGTTAGTGTTGGATTCGGGCAGCACAGTAGCTGAGTGGTTGGCACTCTCGCTAATAGTGAGTGCCTATACATATATACAGTAAATACAATATTAGAAACGTATTTGAAATAGTCAATACAATAATGAAATGCACATTAAATTATCTAAATGTGTAATGAAGGAATATATAATGAGGTAAAACATCAACAAATAAATAATTCATTAAAATAAAAAAATCAATACATGATTAATTATCAACAAACACTGATTTCAGGATTTTATGGCACATTTCGTTATTCTATTTTGGGACTGTCAGTCACTCGTCAAACAGAGAAGGCGGGACAAAGGCAAAACATTAGTTGTAATTGTACATTTAAATAATTCAACGTACATTTAATTATTGAATTGACTTTTTAAGAATTATTTCCATTTACTGGCTTATTAAATTGTTAATATACTTAATTGTGACGCTTTATTTTTGTTTAATATTAACCTTGTAAATTGTCTATAACTGTCAAAGAACTCCCTGTGTTATCATCATCATTAACGCACGGAGCGTATGGAACACATGAAACGCCACAGCACTGACGTTACGTCAGGCGCCTGATATGGTAATGATGGCGGTTGTCACGACGATTAATCACTTATGAGACTCCTCCGAGCGGCGATCAGGAAAATCAGCCGCACAATGCTTTACACTCGTGCTTCTTCCAGTGGTCGTAAGGTGCACAGTTGGATAGAAAAATATGTGCTTTTCTAATGAGGGTCATAGCAACAGCAAAGAGGATGGATAACAAGAGGCAAAACTCGGCTGCAGTTTTGACTACAGCGCTTTCGTCATTTTTGACTGAGCCAGAGACGGTTACCATAGCGACACACTATACAAAACAGCAAGAACATTATGTCTGAGAATGAATGGAAACAACAAAAACAGTGCTCTGTCGTAAACTGCAGCCAAAGTAAAACTAATCAACAGCTTTTGACAGATTCCCAAAGAGTTGGGAATCCAATGCTTCTTGAGGTTATGGTTAAGAAGGTTTGGTCATAAAAGGAGCTTTGTATTTGTTATTGAAGAGAACTAGCTAACGTCAACAGTTAGCTAGTACCACGGAGCATGATATTTGTGTCAGAAAAAAAAAACGGATCCAAAAACATTCGTTATGCATTATTCAACCTGTTTTAGTTTAGAGTATAGAAATAATAAAAATCTAGTTTACTATTCAGTTTCCTTCAGCTGCTTCTGAATTGGAACCTTGCAATATCAATCTTTTTTATTTCGAACTTTGTTGTCAAATCCAGTGTCATGGCAATTCATAATACATACATACAAAAAAAATAAAAAATAAAATAAAATAAAAGCGTCTTTGTACTCTGTATATACAGTAGTAATAATAATAATGAGTGTATTCTGCGACACTTGTAAATATCAGAGTCCGTTTGTCAATTTCAGCGAACATTTGTTAATTTCTCCATTGTGAGATCAATAAAGTTTATCTTATCTTGTTGCAATGGGACTTTATTTTGAGTTTTGCCGCTTGGTTCTTCTTTACTTCTGTACTAGTCCTAAAACCCCCAACGATCAACATCTTATTAATCTGAACTGAAAACAGACAAGCATTATCTTAGAACAACCACATCAGGAACACAACCATCCTCCATAGGGCTGCACGATATCGGAAATTAGTGCGATATTTGATATGAGTTTTTAGTATTGCGATAACGATATTATTGCGATATTTTTTTCTTTCACCTGAAATTGCAATCTGCATTGAAACGCAAGAGACGAATACCAAAAACATTAATGAAATATAATTCATATATTTATTTACTTTTTGTTTGTTTGTTGGATGTTGATGTGTCTGTTTTGTTGTCTTTAACTCATTGCCTGCAGCCTATTTCAGAACAACTACTCCCATATTGCCAGCCTTTCATGATGATTCTTATTGATTTTTAAAGACCCACAAAATATTGTGTACTATGAATATCCGAAACCAGATTCTGAAAGAATGGACTGTCTACTTTCATCAGCAAAAAGAATTTTGTATTTTACTGAAATCACCAGTCTCAGACAAAAAGCAGAGAAAACATCCAGAGGCAGCGCTGGTGCCCCCTGCTGGCTCGATAAAATATGCTCTACAGCTAATCCCATACATTATAGATATGATAGACATCTGGGAACATGAATATAGCAAAAAACGCATTTGACGTCTTAACAGGGCAATGGCAGACAATTTTTTTATCACGCATATTTTCGATATGGATATTGCACGCACAAATATCGCGATTTTGATATTTTTTCGATATATCGTACAGCCCTAATCCTCCACAATCAACAACTTTTATGGACATTGGTCTCTGCCTCTTATGTTCCAATGGCTTTAAGTGTTTTTATTATTGCATTTCTTGTGTTTTTTCGACGGTTTTGTAAAGACCTATGAGAAAACTACTGTTGTGATTTAGGGCGATACAAGAATGAATAGAATTGAATTGAGTTGAAGAATCCCACTTTATATGAACGTTCCACTTCAAACCAATTTAAAGCCTTTTTAGCGAAATGGTTAAACTTCCCAGCTCCTCATGTCGGCCTTTTCTCCAACAGAAATGGTGTGATTTTAAGAGCACTTCAGCAACTACAGTATTGTATTGGACCCACAAAGGAGCGGTCCTGAAATACAAAACAGACCTGAATCATTGAAATGGTTTATTTATTTATTTATTTTTTTATTTTAACTTGGTTGCCTAACTTTAAAAGAACCATTCAAGACTCGCTCTGTTGGGATAAGCAAAACAACAATTATGGAACAAAAAATGTAAGGTACCCCAGCTATAATTTAATTAAAATACCATTAACTCATTGACAGCCATTGACGTATTTGTCTGACACCCTCTATTCGACCGGGGATTACAGGACAATAAAAATAGCTAAAAACAAACTTATTTTTGCTGATAAAATTAGACAATCCAGTCTTTCAGAATCTGGTTTCACATTTCACATAGTCTTAGGAGATAATATTCTGTGGATCTTGAGAATCAGTGAAATCATCAAAAACGGCTGGCAGTTGATGAGTTAAAGAAGAAAACCATTATTTTAGGTGTTTTCTATTCATGCTTGTTGAAATAAACGACAAATTCATCAACGGACAAATGTGTAAATTGGATAAAGACAATGTTGAGATTTATAAAACTAAAACTCTGATATGAAGCAATGCTGTTTGAGGCAAGTGGAGCCATTCTCAAAAATTTCAAATGTTCGCACAGGCACTAACCCTAACCATCCTCAGAGCCTCCCATGATGCTCCTTGTAAAGGGAACACTATCTGGCTTCTTTAAGACTAAACTGAAGGTCGACTTGTTTGGACGATCGTACCCTTCAAAGTTTTCTTGAGACATGTTTCTTTTCTTAATCACGCCGTTTTTGTGAATCACTCTGATATTCTCTCCTGTTTCAAACGTGCTATATGCAGTAAATACATTTGCGACATTGTGCCTTTATTTCAGCAGAACGGTCCACTGTGAGGAGAGGGTGGTCGTTGGGATAATCCATACTTTAAGTTCTAAAACGAGTCAATATTCTCATAATCAGTGAGAGCAGTCGATTTGTCAGTTTTTAGTTTTGCTGTACTTAGTGTATGTTACTCGTGTTGTGTACATTCTTGGTCTTCATTACTTCGTGACTTTATGTAGTTTATTTCAAAGTCAACATTTGTTCATGAAATTATCCTTTACTTTTGAAATGTGAGAGAAAACCAAGCGCTGGTTACCGTAGCAACGCACTGTTTACCGTCAGAAGTATTAGCATTAGCCTTTCTTTGCCGTAGTTCAGTTGCGGTGACCAGTTTTAGCACTTATTAAAAGTGAGTAAAGGTAAAAAAAAAAAAAAACATAATATACTTTTTGGTGTGAATTTGGTGAAAAACTAAACATTCTTTGGGGATATTTCTCAGAATTGAATGGGAGCAGTCAAAATGACGGTTTAGGGAGTTCAAGTAGTTTCAGAATTCTGGCGCTAAGGACTCAATTCAGAATTCTTTTTGTTGCCATTGTGAGTAACCGGAAGTCACAAACTGGAAAATCGCTTTGGTTCTTGGCGCAAACAAGTTATAAAAGTAAAAGTAGAATGATAAAGATAGAAAATAAATTACATTTCTTAAAAGTACTGCTATATACTGTACAAGTACACTATGTCATTCAAATCTTGAAATTAAAACTGCATATACACATGAGGTTCACACAGTAGGTAAACATTAGGTTCACACAATAGACATGTAGCAGTGCAGTAAAGTGATAGTAGCATAAAATAGCATAAAGTGACAAAATAACCCTCCATCCCCGAGTCCATCACAAACACCACAGTCACTGCCTTTTCAGAACTCAAACCTAGACTTTCTGTAAACATCGGCTTTGTGTGCGCCGTTTACAACACTGCATTTATGTTGCGATGTAAAAACGCCGCTGACAGCCCTCACGCCCAGGTGCTTGTCCACAAGAGCAAACGCCACCTGTCACCTCCCGCTCACACGCCCAGATTCACAAATATGAGATTCCTCCGACCAAAGAGCAAACGCGAATCGGTGACAGCGGAAAACACACAGATGCAGAGAAATGACTTGAATTCTGATCTGTATTTATCAAAGCAGCAGCAGCAGATTGTTGATGTGTGGCTGGGGGTCTGCCTGTCCACCGGTCATGCCTTGTTCCCCTCTCTCCTCTTCTCCTTCTTTTTAACGACTTGAAGAAATATTATGCATTATTTTTGGCATTTAAGAATGTGAAATAATATAAATAGTATAATAATTACGTATGAAGGCTAAAAAATGCTCCCCAGCTGATCCTTGTGTATTATTTGTTTGCGTTTTCAAAATTTTAAATGAAAATGTAGATTTTTATTTTATCTGGGCAGAAGATTTGCATGAAGGATCTCAATGGTGACTGGTAAGTAATTTAAAAAAAATCTATAAAAGCTAATTTTTTAAAGCGTGGGTACCTAACTTTTTGGTTTATTAATTGTTTTTATTTTATTTTCTCCAACAGAAATGTTTCTAAAAATTGTTCAATTCAGACCACAACATGCTGTCGTCATCTTATTAGAAAACATTTATCTTTTGAATATAGGAAGAGCCTTTGGGCCAAAAATATATAGTAAAAGAACCAACGTGAGTGAGAGTTAGATTTTATTACATAGTTCCATTGTTGTGGTCTGAAAGTGATTGTTGTGGCCAATTTAGTTACCTACTATTGTCCTAATTTTTGGGGCTATTATAAGTTTAACTAATAGTATTTTTAGTGCTACATTAATTTCTTCAGTTTGTGTGGGAGGTTTTGATTTAGTTGCACTGCCTTAAATGTCCACATGAGGGCGCACCTCTGGGTGGAGTTGGCCTGGTCTCCAACCTGTAGCTCGCCATCCTCTTCCAGGTAGCTCGCCAAAGGATTTAGAAATGAATAGAATCAACTACTTTGTCACTACTAACAAATATGCTCTGATAAACCAATATATCACCATTTTTATCTCAGGGCGGCTTAAAGGAGTAGCTCTCTGCCTTTATCATCTCGGGAAAGTAGCTCTCTGGGTGAAACAGGTTGGAGACACCTGTCATACAGTTTTTGACTGCACTACTGCATTTTGATTTTACCTGTCGTACTTATTTGCTTTTTGGTGATTCGTTCAATGGATAAATCTTATGGAACCTGTGGAACTATTAAATTCATTAAATCACCTTAATTATATCAAGTTTTGGACATTGATCATTGCAACACGTCAATCAGAAGCTAAGGCCCGGGCTGACAAAGTGACTACAGTGAGGTACCCCAGCTTTAACTTTACATAAAAAGAATCTCCAGTAAAAAATAAGTTCCAAAATGCAGCGGTACAAAGTAAAACGATCTCAGCTTAAATACTGAATTGAGTCAACGTCGTGCAAAAGTGTGAAATATTCCACAATTTTGCACCAATTTGTGAAAAGAAAAATGACTGGAGCGCTTTAAAAGTCACACAATATTGAGATCTTTCACCGCACTGTTAAATTGCCATATTATTCCTCACAGTTCCATTGAAATCCAAAACCACCCCTCGCCGTCTCACACATTCCTCATTCTTCACATTAGGTTTGCAGCGAAACTGAAAACAATCCATTTAATTTGCTTTTATTCTGTGTTTTTCTTCTGTACGGGACATTTCAGCAGATAATCGCGTCGGCCGCTGCGTGGGGCAACCTCTCCTTTGCGTTTGATTCAGAAAATTTAACTGGAGTTTTTGGCCCCGACACTAACAGAACATTTCATTACTTAATTGGCCCTCGATTTGCTGATTACATTTGATTCAATGTGCTTTTTGGAGTCGTTCCAGTCGACAGAAGGACTTGTAGCAGCTTGTATATCAAATTACTGTTGGCATTTTCAAAACACAAGCACATAATGTTTTCCCCGGGCGGCTTCAGTAACGACGTATGAACGAAAGCCAGTGTTAATTATGTGTTTATGTTGTAAAGATTGTAGATTTGTGTTCCTCCCGTAGGATTTGATATGACCAGACTGCAATGGCTGGATTTGAGTAGGAATTCAAAAAGTAATGTGTACTTTTTCTACTTTATAATCTGAGAAAGTAAGTAATCTTTACATATTTAGCGCCTTTCACAGACCAGAGTCACAGAGCACTTTACAACCGTTTTCTTTTTGGGCATTTATCCGCTCACTCCACACACAGATGGGAGTGAGGTTGCTGTACAGGAGGCATTAAACATGTTTTTAGAGGTAGGGAAAACTGGAGCACCCGGAGGGAACCTACGCAGACACAGGGAGTACATGCAAACTCCACTCAGAAAGGTCCTGTCCTGACCGGGATTCGAACCCAGGACCTTCTTGCCGAGTGTGTATCTATTTACTGTTGACCCTTTGCTATTGTCACGTGGTGAGATTAAGGTGGACTCACAATGAAGGAATGCAAAATAATAATTTAATGAAGATGATAAAATAAATGTCCAAGTTAAAAACATACAACAACAAAAAACGGGAAAATACACAGGCAAACAAAGATAATTGGGGGAGGAGCACAGGTACATACAGACACAGGTACATATAGACACAGAGACACCGGTAAAACGCATCAGGGCGGGGCCGACAATCAACCGGGGAACAGAACGGGAAGTAAAAGTAAAACAAAACCACAGAGCCAACGTAAAAGATAAAACACTAAATCCACGCCGTGACAGCTACAACACGGTTCACCTGTCGCGTCCAAATTTGTAACTTCCTGTTTCTTACACCGGGAATGAGATATTTATAATTGAATAAATTTTTTTTTTTTTTTTTTTTTAACCGTACATAGACTTAAACAAGCTGCAAAAAGGTTTAATGAATCTTTGAATGAAAATGTGTTTTTCTCCAGCGGCATCACTAGAGCGTTGTTTTGGTCAAATGTAGAATGAAATCTATTCAATCGATCAAAAGAATACTAGGCGCACTCATTTTTCTGAATCTGTGACATGTAGAGCGTTCACCTGCCTCGCCTGTCATTAAGGAAAACCCAATATAATCGCAAGCGGAGTAGTGGGGCCATTGACGGGAGCATTTTCACTGACACTTCCTGAAAGGGGCGGGACTAAGAGACATAAGGAGACAGAAGGAGGAGTTGCGCGTTTTCTTTTTCTTCTGTCAATTGTTTTAGTTCAATTGAAAGCATTGATAAGACCAAACATTTCATATAGAGTCTTAGAATATCTTACTATATTATAAAAAACAGGATCGGGTTATGTCCCCTTTAAGAACTAGTTTGTTAAAGCAGCCATCCACAACCTGCACTCGACACACACATCCAACTGACACAATGACTTCCATGAATACTACTTTGGTGAACTGTGTTTGCATTTCCCGTTTCCAATATGTACGCATAAAAAGTTAGACATTCCAACTGTACAGAAAAGAAAAGAATTCCACCCAACTCGACGTGGCTGCAGTGCAAGCTAAAACGCAAAGTATGATGACAAAATAATTAGGGTTATTCAATGCTAGGATCAAACATTCGGAGCAAAGCACATGTATAAAGGAGAGTCAACACACACAGCATTCCCGTCCCATCCAGAGCTCAAAACTGTATAATTGGGGGGTGGGGGTGCGCAGGCCGTACGGGACAGGGGGCGGGGCTTGGTACTCACGGACAGGCTCGGTCTTGAAGCTGACCGGCGGGCTGCTCTCGCCCTCCCCTTTGCCGTTGACGGCCGACATGCGCAGCTCGTAGGCGGTCTCCGGTTTGAGTCCGGTGATGATGATTTTGCTCAGATCTGAAAAGAAATGGTAAGGACAGATTTTTGTAGTAAGTGCTTGTCAAAACATTGCTTGTATTTTAGAATTTTATCTCAGAGTGTGCTTGAAAATCAATTGTTTTTTAACTTTTTTATTAGATACTAGAAAACAGATATATACATTGAAATGATTTTCCCATTCCAATAGATACGTTTATGTTTTTTATAATTTTATAGCTTTAGTAAACAATACATGGATCAACAGATTTGTGGCCAAAAGCCTTTCTCTTTTACTGAGTTGTTGTATCTGTATGAAAAAGCTGATTAAAGGCCAAAAATACAGTACATCCATTTTCTTCCCCTTAATCCATACCCTGACAAGTAAAGTTTACTTGAAAAAACCTTGGAAATAAATTGCGTATTAACTCCACTTGAATTCCTCGAGTACATCCTTTACTTGATATTACCAAGTAACTCAAGTGATTGCAATAAAGTTTACATTTCTGCTTGTGCTCCAACTAGGATTCGTACTCAGAACCCTGTAGTTGAGAGGTGAAGGTGCTAACCACTCAGCCACCAGGACACCCTGGTACTAACACACCTGCCTCATTAAAGACTCTACACGTCAAAATGTCAAAAGTGAGGCTTACTTGAACAGAAACAGTTAGAACAGTAGAAACAGCGTATTTGAGTGATCTAGTGATTATTCCTTTGATTCTTAGAACGAAGCCGTGATATTTACCTACATTTGTCAGGCTAGCGGCTCAAAAACAGACCCAAAGTCAAGAGACAGTTATGAAGTTTTAATATCCAGACAAAAAACACAAAAAACAGACTGGACACAAATACCAGTGGACAAGACAATCTGGCAATGAGGCAAAGAGGAAACAAAGGCCCAATCCCAATACGCACACTGCACCCTACACACCTCTACGAAGTGTGCATTTTACGTCATCGACTCGTCAAGAGATGGTCATTTTCAGACCTAAACTTTATAAACATTAAAGGTAATTTTGTCTGACCCTTTGGGAAACAAAATGAATTGCTTCACACACGTTAAAATACATGTATATTAGTTGTTTTTAATTAGAGATAGCTGTATAATTTTAAGTTAAATGTGGGTAACTAACTATCTGGTCAGTTTTTATACATTCTAAGATTATTGTACTAAGTGTAAAGTTTAAATTGAATGTTATATAAACGCTTGTTTTAAAAAGTTATTAAATTGTTAAAACGCAATGTTCGTAATTCTTCATCAGACGTTTATGCTTCTTTCCAAGTAACATTGCAAAACTTATTTACACACATACTGCATATATATTTCAAAATGTATATTTAAATGCATTTTCCCGACGTTTTGGTGTGTACCGCAAAGAATTATGGGCAATATCCTTCGCCAGAGTGCGCATAGATGCAGGCTACGGCGAAGTGTGGATCAGGGGCTCAAAGGGGGCGGGGCCAAAGACCTCCCTGGAGAATTGGGACACCCTACGCACTCGCACACTTTATCGGGAACGCGCAAATGAGGGGCGCGAGGGTGGAAGTGCGAGTATTGGGACGGGGCAAACTAATATTCACCAGGACACAGGTGAGGCACATCAAGGGTGGGGCAGTAATCAGGAAACAGGAAGTAAATTAGGGACATGAACAAGTAATGGGGATTTCAAAATAAAACACAGAACAGGACATGACAAAATTACACTAAAACATTTTAAGTGGAGCCCCAGAAGACCTTTTTATAGCTAATATTTCCAGACAAACCCAATGTATAATTACATTGATACATTCAGGCATTAATTGTTTTTGGAATTATTGCTGTTTGAGTCTTAAAATCCCATCTCACAGCACTTACATTGGTTGAAGTTTGTATATTTTGACCAATTAACAATTCAATTATCAGTTATTAAGTTGACAATTATTGAAAAACTTTGATTAGTTGCGATTAGACAATTTTTGATACAGCTCTATCCAATCCAAAACACTCTGATGTGATGATGGGATCCCTGACCCCGGCTTCCTCCATCTGCACCGACGGACTGCCCTGCCCGACGCGTGGGCTACACCCCCTCGCGCTTGTCCACGTTCTGTAGTCTGAGTCCTGGATCTACTTCGGTCGGCACTAGATCATATACGGAATTGGGACAAAACCGGAAGAAACAATCCTACTTTCGAATTAGTTTTAGACTAATAAGTCCTTAAGTGGTGACTGGTTAAGTTTTAGGCGTCTGAGTAAGATGGTTAAGGTTAGGGTTAAGGTGGTCTGAGTAAGATGGTTAAGGTTAGGGTTAAGGTGGTCTGAGTAAGATGGTTGTGGTTAGGGTTAAGGTGGTCTGAGTAAGATGGTTAAGGTTAGGGTTAAGGTGGTCTGAGTAAGATGGTTAAGGTTAGGGTTAAGGTGGTCTGAGTAAGATGGTTAAGGTTAGGGTTAAGGTGGTCTGAGTAAGATAGTTAAGGTGGTCTGAGTAAGATGGTTAAGGTTAGGGTTAAGGTGGTCTGAGTAAGATGGTTAAGGTTAGGGTTAAGGTGGTCTGAGTAAGATGGTTAAGGTTAGGGTTAAGGTGGTCTGAGTAAGATGGTTAAGGTTAGGGTTAAGGTGGTCTGAGTAAGATGGTTAAGGTTAGGGTTAAGGTGGTCTGAGTAAGATGGTTAAGGTTAGGGTTAAGGTGGTCTGAGTAAGATGGTTAAGGTTAGGGTTAAGGTGGTCTGAGTAAGATGGTTAGGGTTAAGGTGGTCTGAGTAAGATGGTTAAGGTTAGGGTTAAGGTGGTCTGATTAAGATGGTTAAGGTTAGGGTTAAGGTGGTCTGAGTAAGATGGTTAAGGTTAGGGTTAAGGTGGGTCTGACTAAGATGGTTAAGGTTAGGGTTAAGGTGGTCTGAGTAAGATGGTTAAGGTTAGGGTTAAGGTGGTCTGAGTAAGATGGTTAAGGTTAGGGTTAAGGTGGTCAGAGTAAGATGGTTAAGGTTAGGGTTAAGGTGGTCTGAGTAAGATGGTTAAGGTTAGGGTTAAGGTGGTCTGAGTAAGATGGTTAAGGTTAGGGTTAAGGTGGTCTGAGTAAGATGGTTAGGGTTAAGGTGGTCTGAGTAAGATGGTTAAGGTTAGGGTTAAGGTGGTCTGAGTAAGATGGTTAAGGTTAGGGTTAAGGTGGGTCTGACTAAGATGGTTAAGGTTAGGGTTAAGGTGGTCTGAGTAAGATGGTTAAGGTTAGGGTTAAGGTGGTCTGAGTAAGATGGTTAAGGTTAGGGTTAAGGTGGTCTGAGTAAGATGGTTAAGGTTAGGGTTAAGGTGGGTCTGAGTAAGATGGTTAAGGTTAGGGTTAAGGTGGTCTGAGTAAGATGGTTAAGGTTAGGGTTAAGGTGGTCTGAGTAAGATGGTTAAGGTTAGGGTTAAGGTGGTCAGAGTAAGATGGTTAAGGTTAGGGTTAAGGTGGTCTGAGTAAGATGGTTAAGGTTAGGGTTAAGGTGGTCTGAGTAAGATGGTTAAGGTTAGGGTTAAGGTGGTCTGAGTAAGATGGTTAGGGTTAAGGTGGTCTGAGTAAGATGGTTAAGGTTAGGGTTAAGGTGGTCTGATTAAGATGGTTAAGGTTAGGGTTAAGGTGGTCTGAGTAAGATGGTTAAGGTTAGGGTTAAGGTGGGTCTGACTAAGATGGTTAAGGTTAGGGTTAAGGTGGTCTGAGTAAGATGGTTAAGGTTAGGGTTAAGGTGGTCTGAGTAAGATGGTTAGGGTTAAGGTGGTCTGAGTAAGATGGTTAAGGTTAGGGTTAAGGTGGTCTGAGTAAGATGGTTAAGGTTAGGGTTAAGGTGGGTCTGAGTAAGATGTTTAAGGTTAGGGTTAAGGTGGTCTGAGTAAGATGGTTAAGGTTAGGGTTAAGGTGGTCTGAGTAAGATGGTTAAGGTTAGGTTTATGATCTATTGCTGACTGATCTACATCCCGTCTGTCTGTAGAACTTCCTGCGTTTTTTTACTTTTCCCACTGGGTTTAGAGTTTTTCCATGCCGAGGAAGGGTCTGTTAGAGTTTTGTGAGGGTCTGATCCAGGACACTCAACATTCAACAACATGTATGGACATTTATCAACATTTATGGACATTGGTCATCTGCCAGACCAATGTGTTTTCTGTTTTATTGTTTTAACTCTCTGATCTGTCTTGGCAAATTTTAACGGTTGTGAAAAGTCCTCCGCGATAACTACTGTTGAATGAATTGAATTGAATACACTATTATCAGTCAGTCTTCCACCTTTCGCTTGACTAATTCTGTGCATTCAAAATGTGAATGACCTCAAACTCATGGAGACATTGGAGGAAAATTCAGGAGTAATGAAAAAGCTCCTCATACACTCTGCATATTCCTCATCCATGAAATGAGCAGTCGTCGTCTGCAGAAGACAAAAGGCTGTTTCCTCTGTGGTCTTAAACTATTTGATGCATATTTATATCACAAAGAAGCTGTAAAGTGAATACATTATGCTGAATTTACTTTTGAGTAATGCATCCTTTTCACGTTTTTGAAATTTGACACTTTATCGGACAAATGGTTATAACTAATGCGTCTGCTGCATTTCTATCTTTTGTGTAGAAAAAGAGGAATCGTTTCGCCTGATGATCAACTACTCTGACGAAGCAGTCCAGACCCACAGAGTGTGTCCACACAGCATTCTGATTTTCTTTTATTTGATACAGTATTGATGTCTACAATGTGTATTTATTTTTTTATTTTCTACTGGGTTTTTGTATTATGTTTTTGTATATATTGATCATTTTAATGTCACAGATAAGCATTTCAAACATACAATTATCTACATTTGATCTTTAATCCATCATCATTATAAATACACAATGTTATGCTTTTGTTCAAATGGGTTGGAGCATTGGAAAAGGGGCAAATATACATGGGAGGTCAATGTACAGACCGTAGAAAGAGTGGAATAACCAAGTGCCCACATCACCCGTAGCGATTGGAAGAGTGGCCATATTGGCAAGTTTTGAGCCAAATTCCTTATATGGACATTTGTCATGATGGGGCGACCTACTTGCCGGAGCAGGGAAAGGTGCCAACCTGAAGTTCAACCCAGAGAATGAAATCATTCGATTGGTCATGATTTACAAAGAACAAATTTGCCAAAATGACACAAACGATTACTGAGCGAGAAGAGTTTACTTTTCAGAGTGAGTGAATGCGGGCACTTCCTGCCGGGCTTCATTGAGCTGGGGTTAGTATTGATCTATGGCATTAGCATAGATCGTGGGATGGACTGACCAAGTGCTGAGGTCAGTGTTTGCCTTTGTGCAGAAAAAGCCGATTAGAGCTAACTCATAGCCGGAAAGAGCTTGCTCAAACAGACTGAAAGTATGCCATTTCTGTAGGAAGCAACGGCGGACCAACTGAGAGCTGTCACGTTAGAACAGTGTAGCATGCACTGGTGTGAATGTTAGCTTGTATTATGACAACTAAACACCAAATTAACTTTTTTTTATGTTTCCTATAGTGATCTCTCCATGTCCTGGTCATTTTTTTTTGACATTTTAGTGTAAATTAAATTAAATCTAATTTTTGAGCCTAAAACCGTTTGTGTGGCGCCCTCTCTACATTTTTGGTGGCACTGCATTTGAATTTGGTGCCTGGCCTCTCCATTGGCTCTGGAGTTATGTGTGACTTCAGTTGGTATGTGTGACGTCCGTCTCTCTGCGCCTGCAGTATAAAATCATCCAAGAATATTTGTTAGTATTCTGGCGACATCTAGTGGTTTAAAATTATATTACATCAGTCGACCGCCACTACCGCTGAGATAATGTGGCTTAGGTTCAGGTGTGTAGCTCTACAATTATCTTAGTGTGTAAAGTAACTAATGCTTTAAGCAGTAATGACCCTTGGTCATCCGGGCAACGCCCTTTTTATGTTAATGTGGACGGAGTAAGGGTGGGCACAGGTGTTTAGTCGTCCTTTAAAGTAGTATACAGCATGTACTGGTGTAAGTGTTGGCTTGTATTAGTATATAGCATGTACTGTGTGAGTCTTAGCTTGTATTAGTATATAGCATGTACCAGTGTAAGTGTTAGCTTCTATTAATATATAGCACATGTTTGACAGGCCTCTCTTTGGGATCGCTGCTGTCAGTAGAGCTGTCATATTCAGACAGAGTCCTCCCTCGGCAGCCGACAGGAGCAGGCGCAGTGGGACAGCGGGGAATTAGCTTGGCCTGTCTCTCAAACGCACTGTGTTCAAGACGGGACTTGCCGCGGACTGAAAATGGAAGCAGCCTCGAACTTAAATGGTATAACAGCAGCAGCCACTTTCATGTAGAAGAGTTACTCCTGTCACTCACTCTTCAAATGTAACAAGAGTGACCTTTAGAATTGTATCCAACACAGATAGACATGGCAATTTGTGAAGACCAATCTTGAAGTTGTTCGGAAGGGATATACTGATTCCACGGCACCATACATACAACTAAATGTCCGAAGCTGAAGTTGGCTAGATGACACTGTGAATATGATAAGTTGCTACTTTCTTATTTAATGGTACTAGCGCCTTCCCCTCCAACTGAAATAGACTTCTAAAACAAGAAAGCAACCTATGGCATGAGCAGGAACAAAGCAGCTCCCCTTCTGATTGGCTCTTTGGTTGCTAGGTCGTTGCCATCCCCAAAATGATCTCTCACTGTGGGTCTCCCTGAGGTTCCTCCTGAAGCCTGTGGGTCTAAGGACAATGGCGATCCGGGAAATTTATGAATATTTACTGACATTGGTCGTCCCTATTGACAAATGGCTCCTATGTGTTTGTTTTATAATTAATTTCCCATGCTGTAATTGGTTGATTCTCTTATCTTTTGGCAAGTTGGCAATTCCTCTGAGACGACTGCTTTTGTGAATTAGGACTAAATGAATTGATTATGTCATTATTTTTGTATAGGTACCAACCTAGTTAATGTACAGTTTAAATAATAACAGCAAACTGATTTGGTTATACACATTTTGGCAAGGGTTTTATAGTCCAGTCAACAATTGCGATCATGCCATCAACATTTCAACATTTGCAGAAGTGACACATAAACAAGATCATTTAGGACTTCAACTTTCTTGTTTTTTTTTTGAGCACTTTGAGTTTCCCATAAATTGAGGCCAATATAAAGGTTGAATCAAAAAGTCCTTCCAAATATGCGATTGAACAAAGAATGTGTCCATCCAAAGGGAAGTTTAAAACAAATTGGCAGTGATTTAAATAATGAAACACATCTATGTTCTCGACAACTTTGCCTCCATGTCTTTTCATATTTGCATAAGGGAAAAAAGCCGGCAGATGAAGCGCAACAACTTTGAACTGATTTTAAAATAACAGCATGCGTGTATAGCCTCTGAAAATCATTCCAAGCCCCTTTCACTACTCCCCAATTAAAACACTTTTATTCAAATTAAACTCCCAGTGATGCTTTCAGCTGTCTAACAACCGCAAATCAGGCTGCCACGAGTAACTATCCAAGTCTGTAAGAGCAAATATCCTCTCGTAAGACATCTTAGCGCTAATAAAGCTAATGTGTCTCGAGGGATTCCACTGAACGCTGACCTTGAATCAGCAAATCAAAGCCTGAACCTCGTTGGAACATCGGTGGGTTGGCTTTCAGCAAAAACGTGAGGCTAAGTGGCAAACTGAGGGTCTAATTCAGGGAGGATCAGAGATAGTGAGAGGAGGATTACAGCTTCAAAATGCAACGCCAGTGTGTCAAACAAACTCTTTTGAACCGTGGCAATGTTCCCAGAGGACTCCAGCGTTCGGAGTCTTGCAACAAAGACTTTAGAAGGACGAAAGGTTTGCCAATCTCTGTGTAAAACAAGAGTGTAAGTCCTGGTAACATTGGAACTGATCATAAAGACCCTGGCAATGCCACTGGGTTGTTCCGTTTCACGATTTATTGGTGAATTTTTTGGGTAAAAGTGAATTTCTACAATACAATACTATTTCAGGGCGGGTAACCGGCTGGTTCTGTGCAAGATCTAGGTGGGTTCTGGAACGAGGCTAGTTCTGGTTCTGAGCTGTGTCAAGTTAACCAGCAGTTACATTTCTTTAGCTTTTCAAATAAAGTTTTGAACAATATATATTTCAGTTAAGACCAGGTTTAGTTTACCTTCTCAATTAATTACCTTTAAAAATGAGTAAATATTTGAACAGAACATATTTGTATTCCCTTTCTGGTCTGAACTGGGGCGGATACCAGTTTTTGGCTACAGGAACCGGAAATATCCAGAGTAGAAAACAAAAGAACTGGTTCTGAAATGTGAGCCTTACCAAAGCCAAACCAAATAATTGGCCAAACCTTTGAAATCTTCTTACAGACACTTCAGCAGTATTCCTACCTCTAACATGTGACATATTCACAACAGTAGCAGAGCAGTATCAGTAATAAAGTTTATCTTATCTTAGTTTCTTACCGTCAGAGGCCTCGTAGTCGCGGGCGTTCCACGTGCTCCCGGGCAGACGCCACTGCACTCTGTATTTGAGGATGGCCACGCCCCCTGAAGAGTCGGGCTCGTCATACTCCACCGTGGCCGAGCTGGAGAAGGGCTCCACCTGGTGGACCTCCGGGGGGGACGGCACCTCTGCACACAAGCACAAGCACGGACACACAAACCATAAGGGGCACTCGTGGTCAGTAGTTTAGAAAAGTTTAAAAAGCCTTTATTTTCTCACGCTGTGGATTAAAATACGCACCAACGCGTTTCAGCCCAGCTTGGCAGGCCTGCTTTTACCTGGAAAGTCAAAACTACATTTTTTGGTTACTAAGTTAAACCCCTCTTCCAATTGAGCACCTTGTCTTTTAAATAATTTTACACACTTGTACCACGCAGCTCTCCTTACCCTTTGTTTTTTGAGAATTACATCTTATATTATTGCTTTTAACAGGCTTCACATTGTAAACCCGATAAGCTACTATCTCCATGACAACACCCAGTTTTGAAGTTGAGCACCCTGCAGATCATTTGTGGATTGTTGATCAAAGCACAGAAGGTTTGCATTTCGCATTCATGTAAAATGAGACTTATTATGTACTTAACTGTGTATGTAATTTGAATTTGAAAATAAAATAAATTTAACAGTTATCTCTTGTTGGCTCCTTACCTGCAGGAGGGTCAGTGAGGGGCTGGTGCTGCGTGAATTGGTCGCAGCTCTGATTTCCTAATTCACAACAACCTTGTTCGGAAATCAATTCGCCAACAACAGATTTAAACAGTAAATGCAATAATAAACAACAGTAAATGCGATAATATTTGCAGTAATATCCACTAAAGATGTGATGTCATGAATACGAGCTGAATATGTTACTGTCCTCCTTCTTTAGGCTTTTAACGTTTTTAGAATAATGCAATGATCCACCGGACTTAACCAGACATTTAAAAAAAATAATAATAATAATATGGGGAACTGTGAGAAACTGAATGAAAGAATGAACCACTGAACCAAACAAAACTAATTAGTTGTCCACAGGTGAAAATGTGCTGAATTTTGCGACAAAAAATTTAACTCCAATTATTTGTTTTGTCACATTTATCCAAGCTGTTTTTAATTTGCTTTATTCAACTTGCTTCAACACATCTGTCGGACACATGATTTTGGCACAATACATGCTTTGTCCGACTAATTATTGTATTTTCTTTGAGAGCTTGAACGGGAATACTAATTAAAACTACTGTCAGTAAAAAACTGAACTTTAAAACGGCGTGTCAAACAGCTGGACACCTCATTACCATCGGACGAGGACTAAAAAGACAAGTTTAGCAAATGTATCCAAATGAAACAGCTCCAACCGTTAATGGCCAAATGCACTAATTGTTTTACGGCGGAAACAAGTGGAGCGTGTTTTGAAGCCGCAGCTGCCCTTTGATGGCTCGAGCTCCAGCGCCGGCCGCTCAGTGGGAACTTGTTACGGGGAACTATTTACAAAAGGCTTGGCCTAATGAGTCCACAACTATTTGCATATCAATCGAAGCTTTTCAAACCTGCAGATCAACACACACCGGAGTTTGGAGCAATTTAGATCAGAGGTTGGATGTAAATTTGGCTCGTTGTATGGAGTTAAATCCCGGTTCTACACACTGTCCAATTACAGTGAGGCCCGGGAGCACAGAGTCATTTGTGATTTGGGATTTGGAAAGAACACGCCAGAGGACAAAGAGGATTCTTTGTCTGATGTTTAAAGAACTAAGATGAGGCTATTTTCTTTTCATATTGACCCTGAAATGGGATCCTGAGAATGTTTACTATTGTATGTATATACAAGCAGGTTAAACATAGCTAAACGCGTACCTTGCTAATGAAGGAGGGTCCAAGGACAATGATTGACATTTATGGACTTTATCAACATTTATGGACATTGGTCATCAGCCCCTTATGGACCAATGGCTCTATGTGTTAAAAAAAAAAATCTAAATATAAGAACGAAACATTCACTTAACTAACTGAGAGGCGATGGTTTAGTTTTTTAAAACCACTCTAGGTCTGGTTTGGATGAGGAATATTATTGTAACATGGTGAAAAGCACAAAATATATGACTTTGTACATTAAACAGGTTGTGATACATTTAGATTTATGAAAAGAGATAGGGATTTAGTTCTTGTGTTTGAGGACTTGTTTACCAAAACACAAAAACACAATATTGAGACACTCACCTCAAAACCAAGAGTTAAATGTCAGTAACATAGACTGTAAATAGTATCGAACGCATGCATTAGCTGCACCAGCCCCATTCACTTAACGAGTGCCTTCAGAAGTCCACAGCGGCTAAACTAGAATGGTCCAAAGAAAAAAAGCATAAACAGCATCTGGGCCAAGAGCCGACTTTTGGACCCTCCTGTAAAGACGTTTTTGAGAGGAAAGAAGACGCCATAAAAAGCAATGGGTAAATCTTATTCCGGGTACACCCCCACAGACTCGGCACGGGATTGGGCCGCCACTGGTACTGGTATTTTCTACAAATCTACATCCCTACCTGCTTGTATGAGGAGAAACTCCTTGGACTCTGTGCCCATTCCGTTGGTGGCCGAACAGTTGTAGCTTCCAAAGTCGCTCTGGGAGTCAGGGTTGATCTGAAAAAAAGAAAGAAAATGATCTTGAAAGAAATTTATCTTGGACATCTCAAATCTAACCATACTCGTGTTTCATTACTGTAGGAAGAAAAACACGTTAGAACTAATATGTACACCAGTATTCAGAATGTTGGGTGATTTTTTTGCAAAGGCTCAGCAGATTAGCCTGAGCAAAAGCAGCATTTAAATCACATAATGGACAAATATGCAAACTAACAAAACAAGTGCGAGTAAGGTGACAGCTCCGACAACAGGTAAATATTCTCCAACATGAGTGCCCATTGCTAAAAACATTGTTTGTTTAACTTACTCCGGATTTTCTTTCATTTTTCTCTGCGTCGGTCTGTGCTATCAGTTAATGAAATCCTGTGTTTTATTAATTCTAATGAGTTTTTCCAGCAAACATGTAGTTATTGTTGGAATGAGATAGTGTTTATTGACTGCGCTGGTTCACAAATACGAAATGAGCATATGGCAGATCGGATAAGGACGTCGCCGTGTTTGGCCCTTGCTTCAATGAAAGCCGCTATGAAAATGGTGGGAAAATAATATTCTATAACGGTTTACAAATATCCTTTAATAAATATCCAAATCTTTCATTTGGAAAACACATTTGGACCAAACCCGTGTCTGTGTGAAATGTGGATATACAGTAGTAATTACTGATTGGTTATAAATCAGTTTCACGATCTGCCCGATATATTTGCGATATTATATTCAGATGTATTAGTATGTTTAAAAGTCAAATCAACAGAAGAATTTTTATTCTTTATTAATATTTTTGAATAGTTCACTTCCATGGAATTCAGTGGTTTGATAAGTTTCATGTAACGGTGTGTTTATATCTATATAAAGTCATCATGGAGGCTGTGGATATGAGGACAGCAAGGCAAGGTTATTTGTGTAGCACAGACAAAACTAGCTTGAGTAACCTGGACTGAAAAACTCGCACTGCTAAAGTCACTTTTTATTCTATCCTACATAATATCTTGCACAAAAGAGACTATATATGAACCTTTTAACATGTTTGCACACTTCCTGTCTTTTTGCAGAACCCGAGTAATTCTATTTATGCCAAATGTGACATGTTCTCCATTGTGAGATCAAAATTGTTTATCTTATCTTATCTAATACACATCTTTCCTGCTTGGACCGATCTGAACTGTGGGGGTTGACCTGAACAGAGAATAGAGTCGCTTCTTGCAGCGCACAAGAAGTGGAAGGTCTTTCATTTATTACAAAGGATTTCTATTTGCCCGGGTGGCCACGGCACAGACAGTGGATCAGAGCAGAATAGAACGCAGATAGTGGATTTTGGCTGTAAATGTCTCTAGTTTATGTGAATGGGCTCCTGCTGGTGTATGCAACAGTATGTTTATGTGAATGGGCTCTTACTGGTCTATGTAACAGTATGTTTATGTGAATGGGCTCTTACTGGTGTATGCAGCAGTATGTTTATGTGAATGGGCTCTTTCTGGTCTATGTAACAGTATGTTTATGTGAATGGGCTCTTTCTGGTCTATGTAACAGTATGTTTATGTGAATGGGCTCTCACTGGTGTATGCAACAGTATGTTTATGTGAATGGGCTCTCACTGGTGTATGCAACAGTATGTTTATGTGAATGGGCTCTCACTGGTGTATGCAACAGTATGTTTATGTGAATGGGCTCTCACTGGTGTATGCAACAGTATGTTTATGTGAATGGGCTCTTACTGGTGTATGCAACAGTATGTTTATGTGAATGGGCTCTTTCTGGTCTATGTAACAGTATGTTTATGTGAATGGGCTCTCACTGGTGTATGCAACAGTATGTTTATGTGAATGGGCTCTCACTGGTGTATGCAACAGTATGTTTATGTGAATGGGCTCTCACTGGTGTATGCAACAGTATGTTTATGTGAATGGGCTCTCACTGGTGTATGCAACAGTATGTTTATGTGAATGGGCTCTTACTGGTGTATGCAACAGTATGTTTATGTGAATGGGCTCTCACTGGTGAATGCAACAGTATGTTTATGTGAATGGGCTCTCACTGGTGTATGCAACAGTATGTTTATGTGAATGGGCTCTCACTGGTGTATGCAACAGTATGTTTATGTGAATGGGCTCTCACTGGTGTATGCAACAACTGTGTTTATGTGAAAGGGCTCCTGCTGGTGTATGCAACAGTATGTTTATGTGAATGGGCTCTTTCTGGTGTATGCAACAGTATGTTTATGTGAATGGGCTCTCACTGGTGTATGCAACAACTGTGTTTATGTGAAAGGGCTCCTGCTGGTGTATGCAACAGTATGTTTATGTGAATGGGCTCTTTCTGGTGTATGCAACAGTATGTTTATGTGAATGGGCTCTTACTGGTGTATGCAAGAGTATGTTTATGTGAATGGGCTCTCACTGGTGTATGCAAGAGTATGTTTATGTGAATGGGCTCTCACTGGTGTATGCAACAGTATGTTTATGTGAATGGGCTCTTACTGGTTTATGCAACAGTATGTTTATGTGAATGAGCTCTTGATGGCGTATGCAACAGTATGTTTATGTGAATGGGCTCTTACTGGTGTATGCAACAGTATGTTTATGTGAATGGGCTCTTTCTGGTGTATGTAACAGTATGTTTATGTGAATGGGCTCCTGCTGGTGTATGCAACAGTATGTTTATGTGAATGGGCTCTCACTGGTGTATGCAACAGTATGTTTATGTGAATGGGCTCCTGCTGGTGTATGTAACAGTATGTTTATGTGAATGGGCTCCTGCTGGTGTATGCAACAGTATGTTTATGTGAATGGGCTCTCACTGGTGTATGCAACAGTATGTTTATGTGAATGGTCTCCTGCTGGTGAGGACAGTGTACCTCGAGGTAGCTGACATAAGGAGTGGTGTGGATCTTCACGTTGCTGGCATTGGCGTTGGGCAGCTGGGAGCCCTCTCTGAACCAGGTCACGTCTGCGGAGGGGTGAGCGTTCACCTCACAGCTGATGTTCACGGAGTTCCCTTCCCACGTGTAGACCGCCACCTGGCCCAGGATCTTTGGGGCGTCTGTGGGGCAGAGAGAGGGCGTGTAAGTTGTCGTGTTCTTAGGTTGAACAAAACAATACATTGGACAACTGTGTGCTTTTGACACGTTGACAGTTCATGACGTATATGGACTCTATCAACATTTATGGACATTGGTCACCCCCTTATGGACCTATGGCTCTATGTGAAGGCTGCAGTCTTTACACATGGCTGTACAATTGTAAAAGATGCAGGTGTTGGAACCTCATTGGCTTCTGACCCCCCAAAGTATAATGGCTTTGCGCAAGTAGTGAATAGGAAAAAACAAGGTAAATATCTTGAAAATGCTGCAATGGATCAGTTCATGACCTCCATAAATTCTTTCTTTGCCAGCACCTGTTACTCCAACCTTGAAACTTCAGCCGATAAAGAAGTATTGTCCCTGGAACTCACTGCACTGCAATGTTCTGAAATGGAAAACTCCACTGTATGTTACATCCATTTTTATTTATAATCACATGAGGTCCTATTTTTTTCATTTTTCTTCTTAAAAAAGCTGAAGATTTGACAGAGAACACACATGCATGGTATAAAGTTTTCATTTTGCAGCTTTGAAGGTGGCTAAAAGGCTAAAATGTGGTCTACTTCTAAAAACACCCTTTCTTAAGAGTCCTACAAGTTAACTTCTCCATTCTGAGAAATTTTACAAACTTTGACTTATGTACCACCTCTTTTTAACAACTACATTTCTTTCCGGCTTTAAGAGTGATTAAGCCAATATCCTCCTCCTTCCCCGCAGCCGTGATTAGATCCTTAATACAAACTGGCCGAGGCTTTTGCGAGCGCCCACGCCTATAGCCCGTGAAGTTAACCTATTGATTAACTGTGGGTTTTTGGCATTTTTTTACTCTCTGGCAAAGGAAAACAAAAGGCCAGAATGGTTCAAAATGAGATTTCACAAACACACATCTGCAAGGCTTCAGTGGGAGCTGGGAAAACACTGAGATATGTGTGCGCTACAACAGGACAGTGACAGGATTGGCAATGACAAGTCTTTGAACGTGAGCAGTCCCTGAGATAGAAATGGATACATCAAATATCTTCTCAAAATACTCTGAGGGGAGACCTCTAGAAATTGGGTCGGTGTGAGACGGCTTCCAGTTGCATAGGCAGAGAATATAGACCTCTCTTGTCTCAGTATACATGCAGACCTCTCTTGTCTCAGTATACATGCAGACCTCTCTTGTCTCAGTATACATGCAGACCTCTCTTGTCTCAGTATACATGCAGACCTCTCTTGTCTCAGTATACATGCAGACCTCTCCTGTCTCAGTATACATGCAGACCTCTCTTGTCTCAGTATACATGCAGACCTCTCTTGTCTCAGTATACATGCAGACCTCTCTTGTCTCAGTATACATGCAGACCTCTCTTGTCTCAGTATACATGCAGACCTCTCTGTCTCAGTATACATGCAGACCTCTCTTGTCTCAGTATACATGCAGACCTCTCTGTCTCAGTATACATGCAGACCTCTCTTGTCTCAGTATACATGCAGACCTCTCTTGTCTCAGTATACATGCAGACCACTCTTGTCTCAGTATACATGCAGACCTCTCTGTCTCAGTATACATGCAGACCTCTCTTGTCTCAGTATACATGCAGACCTCTCTTGTCTCAGTATACATGCAGACCACTCTTGTCTCAGTATACATGCAGACCACTCTTGTCTCAGTATACATGCAGACCTCTCTGTCTCAGTATACATGCAGACCTCTCTTGTCTCAGTATACATGCAGACCTCTCTTGTCTCAGTATACATGCAGACCACTCTTGTCTCAGTATACATGCAGACTTCTCTTGTCTCAGTATACATGCAGACCCCTCTTGTCTTGCTATACATGGAGGGGAATGTTTTGATTGAGTGAAAATCAGACTCCGACGGCTCAATTGCAGTGCATGGGTTAACAGGTTTTTAAATTGGATTCAGACAGTTTTCCTTCCCAATTATCTCTCCTTTTCTCCATGTAAACAGAGCAATTGTGTCCTTAGGCAAGACACTTCATCCTAGTCTACTATGGTTCAGTAGCAGCTTTCCACCACCTCAAGAGTCCCAAAAGAACTCTTCTATATAACTGATGGTTCTTACGGCTTTATCCTCATCTTCATTCGACATCTCATCGCTGCTCTTCCCTGCTGACTTTCTCCCACCGGTCCTGCTGTGGACTTTTCACAATCCGATAGTCTAAACTGCGACTGCTGATAAAAACAGGGGCCTCTTTTCCATAATTATGTGGAGTCCCTGAATGAGCTACCTGATTAGACGCTGATTACGAGACCTCTCCAACGTCTCCTGCCACAAAGAAAAGTGACATTCCTGTTTATCTCTGCCTCTATCTCTACGGCGGTGCGAAGGCCGGTGCAGACTGTGGTATTCCGTTTATCTGCTCGGTGCTGTCGTTTCAATAGCAGTGTAATTATGATTGTGATGAGTAAAAATAGATCAGCATCAGTCGCACTAATTGAATAAGGACTTGACAATAGTGCCGCGAGGAGATGAACCTGTCAATTCTAGACAGAGAAGTTAGTCTGGGCTCGCGGCCAAAGGAGGCGGCTCTACTGCGCACAGATGGACAGAGAAATACACCAATCAGCAAACAGCGGAAGAGACACTAGAATGGTTGGATGTGTATAAAAGAAGAAATATCATGACTTTGTCCGTTCATGTTTTAGAAATGAGAAAGTATACGCTGAAACAAGAATGAAGGGTAAAGGTCCTATGTCACCACCAGAGGGAGGAGTTGAACTAGATTTTTTTTCCTAATTTGAAAATGACTAGTTGCAAGCACAGATTAGGGCTCTGAGTGTAATGTAGTATGTAAACGTTATAGTGGCACAATGACATCATACCATTACAGGACTGAGGCAGGGGCTTTTAGACAGAAGGGGTGGAGTTACATGTTTGTGACAAAAGTTCCCGATATTAACAGGGATGGCTCAAAAAATGACTCCAGGTCTATTTTTGATGAAGGTACTGTAAATGGTTAGCCTCAAATTTTGGTCAATATGCTCCAATTTCTTTTGATGGATATGGCTGTCTCACTAATTCATATTCATAATTCATAATTCGTATAACCACACAACAGAAGCAGAATATGCACTGTTACTATTTGGATTGGCGTGAAACTCAAAAGGGCAAACAGTGCTGACATTTCAAATCTGGTATTTTATATTCCACTGTTGTTTTGACTCGCTTACTACACAAATGGTTAAGTGGTCCAGTTGACCCCTTTCTTAGAATAAATAGCGGCCATCGACGGTGCATGCAGGGTCAGTGCGGGAGCGACAGGGAAAGGGGTTGCCATGGAAACAGAGGAGGCTGCTCTGTGCGAGCCTGAGGGGGTGAGATAGAGAAACAGCGGTCGGTGTGAACAAAAAATGATCATCCAAACTCATAAAAGTCATAAAAGTCACAAGTTTGTCCATGCAGGCTTCTGTGTCGGTGTGGATTTGAGTTTTGGTTTTTGTAGCAACTAACTAATAATATTATCAAGACTTTTGACATAAAGTTTAAATGTGAGGTTTTAAGCACATTTCCCTTGTCAGAACCAGATACACAGATGTATTTTGATCCATCCATGTAATAGCCAGGAACTTCGGGCCTGAGCACATCCCTTACTTTTTTCAAAAATATTGTCAAGAAAATCATGGGAAATGTATCAGAATATTTTTTTATAGAAGTATTTTGCATCGTTGTTTTTTTTGAATATTTATATCGAACATAACATGAAATATGACTGTGTCTGTGTGTGCGTGTGTGTGTTTGTGTGTTTGTGCGTGTGTGTGTGCGTTTGTGACAACATGTGTGCTTTGGGATGGGTCTGTAAAGCATTTTGAGTTGCATGATTTTATATGAAAAGCACTTCATTAAAAAGATGCGACTGATTAATTGACTATTTAAATGTCCTCTAATATTGTCAGTTTAAATGAAAAATATTGCGCAAAGTCTCAAACAGAGCTGGAGTTGTTTTCAGATAAATCCACGCTAATATTTGGAACTTTTGGCACAAACAAGCAGCAAACTTCTGTATAAACGCTAATGTCTCTGTCTTGTACGAGATCACTGTACAACTATGACATCACACTCAGAGAAGTTTTCTGCCTTTGAAAACAAAAGTATCGCCCATAAATTAGTTTGGGAAATTTCTCAGGTGAAATTACATTCTTTAAAATCACACGGCAACTCCTCCCCCTGGTGGTAGCATAGGGGGTTACAGTCAATAGCTGGAAAAGTCACAAATTTTCCAGCTATTATTTCACATTCTGAAACATGAAATGACAAACTAAATAGTCCCATGATCATTGTGAATAGCCAATAATAATGCATCATATTTCTCCTTTAATATCTGTTGTTATGATGCACAACTGATACATATTATTCTGAACCAGTTAGAGACCTCATAACACGGTTAAAATCTTCCATGAAGACAAATTTGTTCTTTGAGAGACAACTCGACCCCAAAAGTATGCACATATTGGGTGTCCCTGTTGCGGTGTGAATGCTGTTTGGTCTCGTGGTGGTCTCGCAGTCATCTTGCTGTACCACTGTGATAATGTTCAATGCGCTTCATTAGCTTTTGATGCTGCACAAATCAATACAGGCTCCGTATCAAAGGCAGAGCCACAGAACGGCTGGACTCTGCAGCACAGAGCGTTGTTGGGAGGTGCATTGCGAGCGCGGCCTCAGCTCCAGAATAACGAGACGCTCACATATTCCATTCATGTGTCGGCTTTTTCTGAAGCACGCATTCGTATTCATCTTTATTTTTATTCTCCATATGCTGCGTTTATGTTTTAGAATGCAGTTGGAGGGCACGTGCCGATGCAAAACAGTACAACTATATGGGAGGGAAACAGAAAAGGTAAGCAAAAAATAAGCAGAAAGTCTGAGTATTACAGTCTGACAGGTCATATGTGTATTTGAATTAAATCAATCATTATAACAGATGATCTGAGTTTGATAAACTTAATGTGGTTATTTTCTTGCGACATGTAACTTCAATAAAATGTATCTTTAATAAAATATGTATAATATGCCAGGGTTTTTATTGTTACTTACGTGGCAATAAAAATGATTCTGATGGAAGTAGATTGAAGATATTCCACTATTGTGGACTATCAAATAGTCCTCAGGAGCCTTGATCTTTCAGTGGGGGCTTCAGGCCCCAGGCGTCTTGCCCAAGGACACAACAGCAGCAGACATCAGTGGGAGTCAGTGGAGAAGGTCTCGTAGTGGACTCGAATGCACAACCTTCAGGCTCAAAGGCCAATGCTCTACCAACTGAGCCACTGTCACGCTGTGTGTGCTTCTTCTTTTTGAATTTCTTTCATACTTGAGGTGAAAGTCTGGTTCAATTTATACGATTGGTGCAAATGTCTCCGGTTTCCTCCAGATGCCCTACCACTAAAACCATGTACAATAGTACCCCATAGCACCCTCTCCGACCCCACTCCTGCCCCCTCTGTCTGGGGACAGGACCTTGAAAAAAGAGATTCTGAAACTTTCCCTGTTGAATAAAAACCACTAGTTCCCTACCGAAAAATGAATAGATGGTTCTCAGACTAAATAATCCCAGAAACCTCTTGACCAATCCAGCGCACCCCAAACCCACCTCCAACAGCAGACGAGGGAAAAGCCGGTTACTCACATCTGACTTCCAGACTCATGCTCTGGCTGTCCTCGCCGATGGAGTTGCTGGCCGTGCAGAGGTAGCGTCCGGCGTACGTGAACTGGACGTTCTTCAGGGTGAGAGACGACACCCGGGCGTGGCTCCTGACCACAATGTTCTTGTCCAAACTCTGCCCCAAAAACACAAGAGAAACACAACAAAAACACAATCAGAATCACACGCACCAAAGACAGCAGGAGGGGCGTCCTTGGGCTGTGTTTAGAAAAATACACATGAGTGGTTATGAAGAGAAAGCGTTGGTTAGAGATGTGAGCTGACTGACAGACGATCGACCTGCGGAACAAAGCCTAACTCTGAAGACGTGAAGAGCCATGAAAGGACTACGGTTTGAAAAATACATACTTTGAAGGTTATTTGGCTGTTATTAGAATGTGAATGCTTTTGCAACGTTAATAGGATTTGGTCAAACAGAAGGCAAGACACCAAAGAGGGTTAAATATACAATAAAGGCTTTTGTGTTGGACAATGTGAAGGAGAAAGTGTATGTTTTTGTTCAAACCAGACACATTGATTTGTGGGTATTAAAAAATGGAAATCGGAAAACACAGTAAAGTGAAAAATGATCGGCCATTTTTATTTGTCTCGTCTGTTGGTTAAGCATAATATTACGGTTTGCTTATTTTAATGCAAGAATAATATTAAAATTAATTCCGCCACACATTATTTTTGATGCTGATGTGGTGAAGACATGCTGGATCAGAATACCAGGAAAAACAGTCAATCCCAAAACATGTGCTCTCAGATTGATTCCACCACATTGGAATGATCCATTGGGCCAACACTTACAGTAATTTGTGTGTGCGTGTGTGTAGATGTGCGTGTGTGTGTGTGTGTGTGTGTGTGTGAGTAGATGTATGAGAGTGAACTAATTTAAAAGGTCAAAACAAACTTCAAAGTTTCAAAATAAGTCTTGTGGAGTCACAGCGCAGTGCCCCAGGACCAGAGGGAATCACTAAATCATGGACTGTTGTGAGTTTATCTTCCATGTGGAGAAATATACACATTTTTAAACTTTTTTTTTTACAAGATTAAGATTAAGACAAGGATAACTTCACAAAGAAGCAGCGCGTGCAAAAGCCCAAACTTTCGGATGGCTTCTTGTCACGTGGATTGGTATGCAGTCATTACCAAGCCCCGGCGATCCAAGATGGCGTCCTGTTCAAATGAATGGCTTGTGCTCAGTAGTTCATGGGACTTCACGGAGACCGGGAGATTAGCAGAACTCGCCTATATGTGGGCATCGTCTGGTCCTCCCGGTTCTGCGCAGTGGATTATCTCAATCAGAGCTGTTCATCAGAGCGGAGTCAGAGCGGGAAGGAAAACAGCAGAGTTTGTGGCAGTAAAGTGTAGATTTAAAGAAAACCAAAGGATTTAAGAAGAAAAAAAGTTCAGGATGACAAGGGACACTAAAATTCACACAAAATCCGATCTTTATGAAAGCTGTAGGTTCTCTGTCAGGTTCTCTGTCAGCTGAGGTCGAGCTGTTTTAATTTACATTGAGTTCGATGGGCCTTTTTTCTGTGTAGCCCTCTTTAGCCTGAAGTACCACAGCGCCCCCTGTGCCCGTAGGTGGGAGCTATAAGCTAGTAATACCCTAGCAGGAAATGAGTCTAAATCATATGTCGGGGTCTCACTCGAAGATGAAATACTGAAATATATGAATTTCTAAACTATGTTCTAATAAGTACAGCAGCATGGTGGCACTCCCGCTTCTCATCAAGAAGGGCCTTTCTGAGTGGAGTTTGCATGTTCTCCCCGTGTCTGCGTAGGTTTCCTCCAGGTGCTCCGGTTTCCCCTACCACTAAAAACATGCCCTATAGGTCTGAATGTAATGAGTGAGTGATGGATGGTGTTGGTTGGGGATTTGATGTGTGTGTGTTCGGCGAATCGCTTCCGTGTTCGGAGTGATTGCAACAATATCTGACTCTGAACATCGTAAAGCGCTTTGGGGGACCTCGGTCTGTAAAATGTGCTACATATATATAAGCATTACTTACTAAAAAAATCTAGAAAGTAACAAACCCTGCAAGAACAGCCACACTTCATCAACTCCTTATGCACTTTTGGACACAACAGCCCACATTCCCGACACCTTATTTGGCATGCACAGTTGAAGCCCCATATTATCCCCTGTGCGTCCTCAGAAGGGGTGATGCAGCCCGGGTATGAATATGCATGCTCCGCGACGTGCCACTTCTGCACCCTGCTCAGGATGTTGAAATATTCATCCAGGAACAGATGCAAAAATCTACTCCTCTTGTTTGTTTGCTCACTCTGGTAACTGGCTGTTCTTGCCTCTCGCGTTCGTGGACGATAAGCAACAGCGAGAGCCTCAAACGAGATCGGTAGAATTGATATTTTCTCACTTTTGTAATTATTTTTAAAGAATAGCAAGCTTTGATATGATCCGAAGACTTGAGAAGAGCTTATAAACATGACAAGGTTCAATTTAATGAAACTGCAATTTGAAGCCATTGGTTTTTTTTTTGCTCAATCCCATAACTGTTATTTATCAAGCAACAAATAAGACTGGGATTGTGAACATTTGCTTGAAAAACATAAGTGGATTATCATTTATGCATGTCAACTTAATTATGGAAATAGATGAAAACAAGAAATGCCCGTAAGTCGACAGCTTTAAACAGCTTGTGTACGATATTATGAAACCAGGTTAAAACATGATGTGGCTTTTATATGAGAAGGTGGGTGTTATATGAGTTTACCGATTCTAACATGGATTAGACTAATGCATGGGCAATACTTTTGTTTTAGTTACAGGTTTGTACCAGAAGTGTCGGAGCGTGGATGGGTCTAAAAACAAGTCACAACTCTGTCTCTGTAACTGATTTTGTAACATGGTAAAACACCTCTAAAAAGTAGATTTTGTATGTCTCCTTTAAGGCATTGTTTGGAAATGGTTAAGGTTAGTGTTAGATTTTAGAGCTTTTGGAACATAACACAGTAATTAGAAACATAGGGTTAGAGTTTCAGAACATGTAAACGTCTTCTGGAGAGACTTTGAGACTTTTTCAGGATCTGGTCAGTCTCCCTTTGGCGGCATGTGTACGCGAGTGAGTCTTGACGGGTTTTAACAAGTGGAACCTCGTCCGAATAAATGCCAGGGTAAATATTTTCAAAATCAAGTTTTAGAGGGCAAGTGAAAGCCAAGCAAAAGAATTCATACACATTATTTTTGCCATTAACAATGATAATGAGGCTTTGTACAGAGCCATTTAATTTTATAGAATATGAAATACTATCTGCAGTAGAAAATATATGGTGAAACCAGTGGGGCGGGTCCCGGCTCAAAAATGTCCAAAATGACGGTGCTGACATGCTGCAGTACCACCCCGGGCCAGAGGGGGTGGACCCGGAAGGGGAATTTTTAAATGTCATCTGACCTCTCAAAAACGTCTTTACAGGCTGGGGCAAAAGTTGGATCTTGGCCCAAAGCTCCGTTCCACACCGGTGTCAATGCTGAGGGGGGTGAATTTTTTTGGACCAGTTTAGTTTAGTTGCTGTGAAATTTTTATAGGTACTCGTTTAAATGAATGGGGCTCGTGCAGCTGACGCATGCACAGATGGGTTTTTTCACATTTTCCAGCCTCTGCGGCCATTTTGAAACGCTCCATGAAAGCCCAATTTTCGTCCCATTTCTTTGAACGGCGGAGATAGGCGTGACTACGTCCGTTAATATTTACAGTCTATGGGTGAAACAAGTATAAAGGGTAAAAATAGAAATAAGAAAAATAAGTAAATAACTGTTTGTAAACACAGAAAAGTGACTGCATAGAACACTATTTCATCAGTGAAATGTCCAAAACTCATTCATGGGCATTACTTTTGTTTGAAGGTCCAATGATCTTATGCTATTACAGGACTGAGAAAGTGGCCTTTTGGCAGAAGGCGCGGAGTTACATGTTTGTAATTGATATTATTCATTGATGTTATATTCTTGGGTGGATATAAAAATGGTTCTAGTTTTTCAAAGGAACAATGTTGTAAAACGGTTAAAAGCTCAAAAAAGTACATTTTGCATATTATCTGTAATGCATCCTTTAAATGCACAAACACATACAGCTATTCTGATGATTTCTTATTTTCATTTTCTTTGCTGCTCGCTTTTACCAACTGTTCTGCGGGCAAACATTAATAATGAATCGAACCTGTGTCGCGCAGGAATCTCTGGACTGTACAAAGTCTGCCCCCGCTGGGAAGCAGGAAGTCATCAGCGTTTTCTCTGAGCTGCCACCGCTTCGTATGAATATTTCAGGTGCTGAGGTGCTCCAGCGTTTATGTCACATGAATAATTGAGTGTTATTTGTTGTGTTATGATTGTGTAGAAGCATTTGGCCTCAGCAACCCTGAATACACCTGGTAAAGAGCGCCGTAAGGGCATTGATCGCACACTGTGGGGTGGTACTCAAGGATGATTACAGCAACGTGATGGAGCAGAAGGGGAGGGGCTGGAGCAGAAGGGGAGGGGAAGGCGATGAAGGGGAGGGGCTGGAGCAGAGGGGGAGGGGAAGGCGATGAAGGGGAGGGGCTGGAGCAGAGGGGGAGGGGAAGGCGATGAAGGGGAGGGGCTGGAGCAGAGGGGGAGTGGCTGGAGGAGAAGGGGAGGAGCTGGAGCAGAAGGGGAGGGGAAGGCGATGAAGGGGAGGGGCTGGAGCAGAGGGGGAGGGGAAGGCGATGAAGGGGAGGGGCTGGAGCAGAGAGGGAGGGGAAGGCGATGAAGGGGAGGGGCTGGAGCAAGAGGGGGAGGGGAAGGCGATGAAGGGGAGGGGCTGGAGCAGAGGGGGAGTGGCTGGAGGAGAAGGGGAGGAGCTGGAGCAGAAGGGGAGGGGAAGGCGATGAAGGGGAGGGGCTGGAGCAGAAGGGGAGGGGCTGGAGCAGAAGGGGAGGGGCTGGAGCAGAAGTGGAGGGTGCTGGAGAAGAAGGGGAGGAGCTAGATCAGAAGGGGAGGGGCAGGAGCAGAAAGGGAGGGGCTGGAGCAGAGGGGGAGGGGCTGGAGGAGAAGGGGAGGAGCTGGAGCAGAAGGGGAGGGCTGGAGGAGAAGGGGAGGGGCTGGAGTAGAAGGGGAGGGGCTGGAGCAGAAGTGGAGGGTGCTGGAGAAGAAGGGGAGGAGCTAGATCAGAAGGGGAGGGGCAGGAGCAGAAAGGGAGGGGCTGGAGCAGAGGGGGAGGGGCTGGAGGAGAAGGGGAGGAGCTGGAGCAGAAGGGGAGGGGCTGGAGCAGAAAGGGAGGGGCTGGAGCAGAGGGGGAGGGGCTGGAGGAGAAGGGGAGGAGCTGGAGCAGAAGGGGAGGGGCTGGAGCAGAAAGGGAGGGGCTGGAGCAGAGGGGGAGGGGCTGGCACATGAAGGGGAGGGGCATGCACAGAAAGGGAGGGGTAGGCGCAGAAGGGGAAGTGCACCCAGAGCCAGAAGCAGTTGTCATGACTTTGTGACGTGTTTTTTCATTTGCAGAAGTTATTTTGGATGCAGAGGTTTTGTAGGATGTGGAAGTAAACATGCGGTGATGCATTTTCGAAATGACAGATGAGGAGTCTGGCAAATGTCAAGGACGTTTTAAGACACAGTTTGAACAACAAATATGGTGCATTAGTTTTAATGTTGGAGCTAGAAGTGAATGTCAGTTACTTTTAAACTGTGACTGAAACTTTTTGAAGACGAGCACTTGTTAGACGACACGCCCATGCTCATCTCTGCAGATTTCTAATTGCACAAAACTAATTCAAATCCTTGAGGTTTAACTGTTCTCCTATGTCTCCTTTACATGCTCTAAAAATGCAATCAACGTGATGTCCACAGATTATCCAATCAGAGAGGAGGAGTGGCATATTTATGTCTGTATTAATTTGTCCAATGAAATCTGAATAAAGACGACATGGTAATTACTGGTAATTAAAGTCTGGACACCCCTAAAACAATAACAAAAGCAGAGACTGAGTAGCCCATAATATTACTTTCCTTTTGGAGGGAATTGGAGTAATGAATTAACAGTAGCCATTTTCTTCATCCAATCCTTTTTCAAATCAAATCAAGGGAAGCATAGAACTGCGGAAAATGAATTGCAATACACATTAATTAACTTTGACAATATATATTTATCCATTAAAACGCATTAATAATAATCCTGAGATAGTGTGGATGGAGATAACTCGACGTATGTTTTGCATGAGGTTAAAATCTCAGGAATAAACTGTCATCTCCATATGTGACGAATATTTGTGACGTATTGCATTTTTGCGAGTGTAGTTTGTCCAATCATTGCTCTGCCACCAGCGACATCAGCAAATGAATTAGAGCCGTCATGTCGACCCAATCCTCCTCCAGCGAACACACAAGCCCCATCTACTGCACCATTCAGATAGACCACGTGGAAAGCCTTTACCAAAGTACGGCTTTTCATCATGGCATTTGAAGTTTTCACACTAAAACTAATACAGCAGCATTTCATGGCCGGCTTAATGGCCTTCTCAAACAGCGTAATGCGTCGGTGATGGGTGAATAGATAGTGTGCCTCTAAATGGATGTGTGAATGGAAAATTGGGTTTTATTTTGTTCAACAGCGAGTCAACCAAGGCCAGAGGAGAGAACATGTTTGAGGACAGCTTTGTATGATCCTATTTGGTGCAATGTTGACCAAAATTGACCGAATTGGATTGAATGAATGAATCAGAAAAAGAGAAAATCAGCGCTTTTGAATAATGTACGACTCCAAAACTTTATACATTTCATACACAGTGCCACTTAAAAACACGGGGAGTCATCCGATTCTCATTCTATTCTTATTTTAGAATCTAGGAGAAGCAAGAGGACATATTTAGTTAGTTCATAGAAACGTTTATAAAGTATGGAATTATATATTTGTGTGGATGGGTGTGTATTTGCCTGAATTTCTCCTACAGGGATCAATAAGTAAGTAATGTTTATTTATATAGCACATTTTACAGACCAAGGTACAGACCCAAAGCACTTTCCAATGTTCAGAGTCAGATATTGTTCCAATCCTTCCACACACGGTGATGACAGAAGCGAGTCCAGAACACACTGGACCATCAGCTCCAACACCATCATTCACTCTCTCATTTACATTCAGACCTATTGTGCATGTTTTTAGTGGTAGGGGAAACCGGAGCACCCGGAGGAAACCTACGCATACATGGGGAGAACATGCAAACTCCACTCAGAAAGGCCCTGTTCCGAGGGATTTGAACCCTATCCACTTAGCCACCGCGCTGCCTATTAAAGTACCTATCAATCTATCTATATTCTGCAAAATCTACTTTTTTATCATAATCAGACCTGGGAATTAATTTTTGGCACTTCTAGCACAAACATGTGACCCCGCCTCTTCTTTCTAAAAGCTCTTGTCTCATAGTATAATGTCATTGTTCCACTCTGACACCCTCCAAACAGCTTTTCTGACTTTTAAAACAAAAGCATTGTCCATGATTTAGTTTCGGTCATTTCTCCAGTGAATTTATCTTCTTCAGGTGATTTAGGTTGGTCTTCAGCGTCATGTGGATGGATACACTTTTTAAATATGATCCAATGAGTCTTTCTCCGTCTGTACAGAGCCTGAATCTGGGTTATTGAGACCTTGTGAACGGCCGATCTGTTTGTGGCTGAGGTGAAACCTTTTGTCAAACTCTGTAGATGTCGGATTGTCGGAGAGCAGAGCTGAAGGCCTCATTAATCATACTGTAGCCGGTGTCAGAGCAGCGCGCTGGGGGAATGTCAACAAGAGAGGCCAAGTGCGGAGCCGGCACCGAGAGGACCGCGCCCTTTATTAACAAGTTGTTAAACATTTCTCAGCGATTAAAGAAGTCATACTGAGCTATTTTTGATTGAATTTTACTATGAATGTGTACTTTGTAGCGAGCAGTCATTTTTTATTCTTTTTAGCTTTTCATGTTTAACTTTTTTATGACCGAAAGAACGAGATCTGGGCACTCCCTTAGAGATAGGGTGAGGGGCTCAGTCACACGGGAGGAGCTCGGAGTAGAGCCGCTGCTTCTCCACGACAAGAGGAACCAGTTGAGGTGACCCCCAGAGAAGACCCAGGACACGCTGGAGGGACCATGTCTCTCAGCTGGCCTGGGAACGCCTTGGGGTCCCCCTGGATGAGCTGGAGGAAGTGTGTGTGGATAGGGAAGTCTGGGCGTCTCTGTTTAGACTTTGGGGTGACCCGGCAACGGATGAAGCAGAAGAAAATGGATGGATGGATGTTAACTTTTACGCCAAGGTCTCGAGCTGTCACGATTAACACTATATCAACTAATTATTCAATAACTAATGGTATAAACAATATATTTAGAGCCCTATTGTTTATTGTCTATATATTTTGAGAGAGAATGTTGAAAAGCATCCGTTATCAATTCAAACAAAGACACACTGGGATTTTCCTGCTGTATTAAACTTTTATCAGGGGCATAAAGTTTTTCCAATGTCATAGTTTATTGGCGTTTCTTCGTTGCTCCTCTTTTGCATCTGGACATTTCTGTTTTTTTCCCCACTTTTGAATGGACTTTGATTATTTATGATTTTAATGCCTTGTATGATTGTTTCTATTTTATTCTGTAAAGCACTTTGCATTGCTTTGTGTATGAACTGTACTGTACAAACAAACATGCCTTGCCCTCCTTTTAATTCATCTTTTTACATAATGTGTTTATTTTAATGCTTGGGCCGTTGATATTTGTATAAACATGAAAAACCTCCTTTTTAACTTTTTCCTTCAAATAAAACACAAGCAAACTCAAATTTGTCACATTTTTTTATCCACATACCTTCAATCAGAGTAAGGCATTTTTCTGTCATACTATTTGGCAAATATTTTTTTCTAATACACTAAAAGATCAAAATACAAATTGAAACTAATGAACTATACCCAGTTCTTATCACTTTGGGAGCTTATATTTTTGCATGTTTCTACAAATCTTCTCTTTTTTAGCTATTTCTTTCACATAAAACTGTATATAAATAAATAAACAGACGTTATATGCCCTGCACTGGATGCTTTTTCGCGGGTATTTCAATGAGCTGAAAGTCATTGGAATGAAAACAGCAAATAAATTGAATATAGAATCTCTTTTTAGCTGGATGAATAAATGATCTTTGTCATCACAAGGACTTTGCACACAGAGACCATCTATAGCATGATTGCTGATTGCTGATTGGTTACTGGGAAATAAAAGCCTTGGATTCGGTGCGAGTGCGTGAAGGGGAAACCGCAGCCTCTTTCAGAACGTCTCCGCTCTCTCAAAGCGCCCGGCAGACAGGTTATTAGAATCAGCGTTCTCCACTAAAGGACCAGTCCAAGTGTACTTTATATTTAAGGGATTCTGTGGAGAAACGTGCGCCCGCTTCTATTCACCCCCTCAGCTAATCATTTAATAGCAGATATGATTATATCGTGTTAGTCTGAGGACGTGTGCTTTCAGTGAGGCGAATCAATACAGCCACATCCTGGCGCCGCGTTCAATGGACGTGATATTAAAACGTGTGGAATGGTATTAAAGGTGATGTACCATGTGTAGAGAGCAAATATCTATTTTGTGCTAGAAGCTAAAAACAGCTCCAGTCCTGTTTCTGAAGAGAGAATTCACAGGAAAAATCATTTAATTTATTGGCCATATAATTAGCAAATCACAAAGACTGCAATTATTCAAGTTCTTTACAAGCAAAAAAGGGAATACATTAAAAAGAGTTTTTTTTTTTTAAAGTCATATTTTTTTCAAGTCAAGATTTTTTTTGAAGCTCCTCTATATATTTCACATTTTAATCATAATAACAAAATAATAAGGCTATTGTTTTACATTGTTCACATGGCATTATTCATTCCCTGGGACAGACTGACCGACGATCATTCACTTATGAGTCCGGTACTCATTGCAAGCCATATTGGTTCGGCACTTTACAGCCACAGTCGCCCCGCTGTGGCACCTGGCATCCCTATTGACTGTATATAAAAGGACAATGCTCAATGCGTCCTCAAGCTCTGGATTGACCGATAAGATCCCTTCGTTCTAAAGCCCATTTAAAGAAATTGGCTCCAGCTAGCTCACGTTCAAAAGGGCTTGTTCTGCATTCGGTGAACACTGTGGGGACGTCAGCACTCTAAAACACAGTATAGATAAGAGGTCTCCCATCACAGAGTGTACCAGGACCTGCCCTGCTGAGCTTCTAAGATCTGCCAGGGTCAGGCTTTTAACATGCAGGTGATACTATTTTTGTATTGAACAAGTGGTTAGAACTCTATAAAAAAAATTCTGAAATGTGTGTAATTTGCTTGTTGTTATGTTATTATTTTTATTCTGAACAATATTAATCTTTTTAAAACACACAGGAATCCAAAATCCTAATCCT